GGATTTGATCCTGTGCAGTAAGAGGGTCAAAATTACTGCTGCAGGAGTTTTTGCGCTTCGACCCCAGTGACTACTAGCCTGTGTTAGAAGGGCTAGACAGGACAAAACTTCAAAGACATCATTAACACACGCACCCTTTAAAAAGCTTAGGGCTAAAGATAGATCAAGCCCCTTGTTCTCCAGAATTATCAATGAGGATTAAGGCAAGGGGCGCAGAGGTGCACCGGTGAAGCGGCCCATTGACCGACTTTTATACAACTCGGAGATAAATGCACATCATCCTTGAAAATAACGAATCCCTCTATATCTATTCCTTCTTATGTTCCTTCTTATGTTTCATTTAATGACTGCTTAATGAATAAGTCATCAGAGATCTGCCATGCTTTGCTGAATCAGTTTGGACTCAGGTTCTGCTCTTAAAGTGATAGTCCGGGTTATTGGACATGGGTTTGTTATCTCTAGTCAGTGCATTAGAGCTGGGAGCACATGGACAGTTGCAGGATACGCTTTATCTTGCTGTCAAGCAGCCCTTTCCTTTGGAAATAAATCTTTTCAACAGCTGAACTATCGTATTCCTACGCACAAGCACATCTACTTCAACAGTTCACAAACTGTAGTTTTGAAAGGAACAGACTTTAACAGCAAGATAAAGCAGTGAAAATATTCAAAATAAAGTGTACACTTCATCTGATATTGGCTTTCTTTTGTTCACATTTTTTAAAGTGGCTAAAACACGTTTTTTGCGATGGTCACGTGCACAGCAGCTCATCACTCAGCTTCTGTGCCGCTGCTCCTCTAAACTGGCACCAAATTGATCCGAATCTACTGCAGGTAATACACTGACTATGGATAGGTACCCCACATCAAATAACCTGAACTATCACTTTAACAGTCGCGCACTGGCTCATGTATCCTCCTTCGACCTCTCAGTACCTCTCAGTTCACCGTACAGCCCTTCACTTACCCATCGCACAGTATATTCTGTGTGCAATGGATCTAAATGACCTCCTGCTTCATCACTTAACATTCCCATCACGCCTGATCTCCAGTAACTCGGATAGATGTTTAAGAGTTTCTGATCTGTGCAGTTACAGTCGGGATTAGTTTTGGTTCAGTACAGCATGAGAATGGCTCTGAATGAATATGTGCCTATAAGCAGCGATGCGGAGTGATACTTATAGAGATTTGACAGGAATGCTGCGATGTAGCAGAGGAATCATTTGAATGCATGCCAAACACACAGCGTAAGATCAGATCCAACTGTGGTGTAATTCCTCACTTAGGGGAGTAACATTGGTGTGAATTAGCATGTGGATTTTTGAGCTGTGTGGTCACAGTGACCGTTTGACCACGAAATTCTAATCAGTTCATCTTTGAATCTAAGTAATTTGCGCCAAATTTGAAGAAATTCCCTCGTGTTCACTCCTCTCCCCCGTGTTGATAAGAACGGGACGGACGGACAACCAGCAAAAACAAAACGCACCGGGCGCCCTGGCGGCTCACCTCGTAGAGCGCGTGCCATGAAGGCTTGGTCCTAACTGCAGCTGCCCGGGTTCGAAGCCGACCTGTGGCTGCATGTCACCCACTTTCTCTCTCCCTGACTTTGCATCTGTCAGAATAAAGCCAAACAATGCCTAAAAAAATACACTGTTTTAGTAACTGGAAAAAAAAAAGCCTAAAGAGGTAAAAACTCCAGCAACAATTTTATTGTCAAACCAGTTAAAAAACTTGCAAAGCTTTCCTTCACAAAGCTGAGGGGAAAGAACATTTACAACCATCTGATTGCCTCGTTGAAGCAAAACACATACAAATTATTAAGTGAAATGATTGGTCACACACGGCGCTAAAAATGTCTGTTTGCTGCCACGTTATCGTACACCTGAAATATTTATGATAACACTTTAATACCTCTATGCCTTCAAAAATGTCAGCAAAGATGGTGTCAAGACTCTAACAGGCTGCCCTCTGAGGAACATTGTGATTTCATATCTGATATCTAAAAACAGAAATGCCACTGAACTGCTGTGACCTACATCAGAGGATTCAATTGAAAAAGTGAAAATTGTGTATGTTAAATGTTTAATTAAAGAATGTAGAAAAACAGAAAGAGCTGCAAGGAATTGGAGATTGTCATTTGTCTTGTATTATGAAGGTGATTAAGCTAAATAAGCTCCATGTAAATAGAAGTAACTGTGAGGACTATTTTTATACTGAAAATCCAGGAGAGGAAAAAAAAAAAATCAGCTATAACACGCTCTCCTCTGCAGATAACCTGTGCCTTCAAACATCAACTGGAACAAAAATACACCTCTACTGCCTTTCCTAGTCATCGTCTTCAAAGAGACATGCACATCAAAGCCAGATGCAACTTCAGATAAACTTCAATCTACATGTAGTTAACAAGTTTTTGGCATATAGTCAGTCAGTCTCACGCAATCAAAAGCAGAAGATGGAAATGTCAAATCATGAATGATGTGTTTCAAGCAAAATAAGATGTACAGCTTATAATTTACCATTGTGAATAGTTGCTTTGATTGCAAATGTCTTTGGCTCAAAGTTTGAAAAAAAAAAAAAAGTTGTTCTGTGTGGCTGTTAACAAAGAAGAGCTTTGAGGCTACTACAGTCAGTCTTTCCACTGGTCTTGTGATGTTGCATCATTAGAGGAAGAGCGGGTGGATTCCTACAGATATCAACGCTACTGTTGAGGGCCAAGTGTGGCAAAGCTCACTGCTTCATGTGGTCAAAACAGCTAGTACCATGAAATACTGAAATTAATTTAAAAAAAAAACATTAGGGGCATTATAATGTCTCAGAGCTTTAACATTTCATGTCCCACTTGTCCTTCAAGACTAAATAGGTTTGATAAAGGAAATAAGTCAGAAATGGAGGCTGTAAATGGATTTACCTCTGTGTACATTCTGTGTGTTCTTTGTTGTGTACTCGAGTTGAAATACCTTTTTGTTGGAGTTCTCGAGATCCACAACCCTAATTCACGCTGAAGGTCTTGGCGATTGCTCCAGTTTGACTGTTCACTTAATATCCCCAATGACGTGTGTAAACAGCCGCTGTCTGATTAACAGCCCTGCTGCAAGGTCAGAATTTTTCCTTTGTGTAAAGTGCATCTTCAGATGCCCTATAGTTCTGCTGCAGTCGCTTGACGTGTGGGTCCATCCTCTCGTCTTGCAGTAAGACACGTACATACACACACATCAGCGGATCTGCCAGCACAAATCCAAACATCTCATCTCAGACTCTTAGACTACTTCCTGGGGTTTGGTGATAATAAACAAAGAAATGAAAGATCCTCACACTTTGGCACCAAAGGTATCTGGACTGGATTTCATGGCAATACAGCCAGTAGTTGTTGAGACATTTCACTCAAACCCACAAATGTCAAACTGCTGGTGGCTCCTGAGGAAAAGTCAAGGGATCAGCAACATCAGTAGGATTCATCCTCTCAGAGCCACGAGTGTCTGCACAGAACTTCATGGCAGTGCCTCCAGTCCATCCAACCAAAAGACAGACCAACACTGCCATCCACTGAGCCACACTGCAAGCATCGGTAAAAAAAACCAAAACAAAAACACCAAACCCTCAGGAACAGAGCTGCACGGTGCAGCAATTTTGGCAAAGTGACCACAGTGAAATGGAGGTCATGTGACACCCTGGGATGTTTCATAATGTTTTCATGTGTTCATATGTTAATGCTGGACAGAAACGTTTCTAAATATTCTTCTGTGTGTGTCAGTAGCTGACGTGTGACATTGGTCTTATATCGCATCGATTCATCAAGTCAAAAACGCCTCACGCTGCAGACACTCCTAAACAACATGGCAGAGATTCATCGCGATACATTTAAATTTGAGTTTGATTTACAAATCACCTTAAAACAATAAAAAATACATTGCTTCAATTATAAGTTTCAATTATAAGATCTTTACTAATGTAGTGCAACCTGAGGCTTATTTCTAATGACTTTAAGTCAAATGTTCATCAGTGCTGTTTGTTCAATACATCTATATATTCCATTTATAGAGGCTATAGGTGGCTTGTTTATTAGCCTTATAAAAACAAAACAATTTAAATAGATTTTTTTTCAATTTGTTTTCTTATTTTTAATAGAAATTGTTCTTTTGTTTGTTGTTTTGGTTTTCACATTTTTCATATTATAAATTAAATTACATTTCTGATATAAACAGAAGGTACAAACAAACTTAAAATGCCTCCTGTGTTCCAGATGGTGATGGTACATAAAAACAAGGTTGTTCAGAGATATGAATGAGGCAAAGGATGTTAAAAATGTGTATGTTTCTTACAAAATTTTGACGTGCACACAGATATAATGAGACAACATTTCCTGAGCCAGTACCGACTCTTTAAGTGAACCTGTCCTTTCATCCATTTCCTGTACCCGTTCATCCTGTTCAGGGTTGCTGGGGACTGAGTCTAGCAACTAATCGTGGTTTAGGATTTTCATAGAAAACCGGAGCAAACACTGGGAGAGCATCCAAACTCTCTCTCGCGAACAAATGGACTACTGTGTCTTAAAGTAAACCAAAAATCCATTCTGTTCTGCAATCTAGGTTTAAGCACACATTGACCACCACAGTAGGGCTTTTAGGTCACTCTTATGTAGTTGCTATTAAAATGTACATGAAACTGAAACATTTAAGTCCACTAGTTTCTTCATATACTGTTCATAAGAAATGCAAATACATGCAAAATACAACCCACCCCTCCCCAAGCTCCACAACAGGGATCTGGAGAACAGTGAAGAGTCTTTTGGATTTAATCTTTTTCACTGAAGCATTAGCTGAAGGCACAGTCCTCAAGCGCTCTCTGCAGACATGATAATCACACAAGATGCTGTTATTACCTGATTCTATTGGTCCTATACTTCAGAGGCAAATAGAGGAGTAATCCTATATGACCGTACATCACTCACTGACCAGCTGAATTCAAGTGGTAGAGATTGTTTGGTTACAGCTTGATTCACTCACCAGAGGGGGCGCTCTCACACTCCTGTATGTTACACTTCTGGGTGCTCTCAGGCTGCGACTCATGGTCACATTGAGTTTGATCAACTTCGTCGTCCGTCTCGGCCTTCGTGTCCACACATTTGATGAGTCGTTGCTGGACTCCGCCTCCACAAGACGCTGAACACTGCAGGGACAAAACAGTGATGCGGTTTTTCTTCCTCGTTTTTACATTGTCAAAACACCTCACATTCATTTTGTAGTTTTATTTGTTGTCACGATATGACCCTTGTGTTTTCTTCTCCAGCTTTTATGATTGAGATTGACGCGGAGTTCAACAGGCTCAACACGCACTGACTGATAAAATGTCATTTCAGTTCATTACAGCAGGGCTGACAGCCATCACTGTTGCGTTTTAGGACCAAACACTTTATTTTTTTATCCAGCACTTCGTATCAAACCACTGAACTTACTCACAAATCACTGAGGATCTGAGGAGCCAAATTCCTTCAGAGAAATGAAAAATAGGGAGACTTTTTACACTCTGATTGGGCTACTGATAGCAGCAGCTTTTGTAAGCATTACACTGTGCTCCTGTTTGCACATACTCAACAACAGTCATAATATAAATGGTGTTGTGGACACGTTTTATCTCGACGTGTTCAGATTAAAGATTTTTAGACTCTGTTTTGCCACCGCTGCTTCAGGGATTAAAAAGACTCTACTAAAAGACCTGCCTTTGTGGACAGAACTGCAATTCAGATAACAGTCATAATTCCCAGTGCGGCCAGGTTTCTACAAGACGACCGCCTGCAGCTGTTTAATTGTGTATTGACACACTGATTGTGGGTGATAATGTGGATTCTGGGAGATTGAATTGTTACCCACAGTTAGGTGACATGCTTTTGTCTGTGCATTTCAAAAATCCTGTCTTTACTACTCGATGTGACCAAGGGAAAAAAATGGATATTTAGGATTTTATCTACTGCCAGTCAGGTTAAGAAGTCGATACCAATTCTGGACACGAACAGCGAATAATGAAGGAGCAGTGGAACCTCAGCTCGAGAGGCTATATCGCCTTGGTACACGGCTGACATAGTCTATCCATTAATTTTTTGTTGTTGCTTATCTGGGTCTAGGTCACAGTTTTCTTTCTGTTTTGTTTTTCTGCCCAAAATTCTTTCTCTGGTTCTTGTATATATTATTTACATATAACACCCAGTCAATACGTTTCTCTTTATTTCTCTGGTCAATCCTTCAACCAGTCTCGCTGCATCTCCCTCTCAAGCAAACCATCACTTTCCCCGTTTTTAGTGACCAGGACCTCAGATGTCTCTCTTAAGTCCTTTATATCGCACCTCCATGTCCGCACCTGCTCCTTTCACTAAACCATCACATGTAAAAATCTCTCAGCCAGGTGCCGGGGTGTTTGCTAAATTATCCTGTGTTATATAGCTAAAAAATAATGAAGTAATCGTTTAAATCTTGTTGGTGTCTGTGGTTGAAGTCGTGTATTGAGTTTTCTGTCAGGATCTTTAGGACAGGTTTACGTACTTTCAAACTGCAATTGTTGACAAATCGCTCACATCTTTTTAAAATCACAGTCTGGATTACTGTGACTGAACAGTGTAGGTGCTTTAGAAAAAGAATAGTGGGATAGACAACATGAATTACTGGCTAAAATGTAATTTGCATTGTTTGTCCCTCTGGTATTAACACCACATTAAGTTGAAAATCAGGGCACATTCTTCATGAAATTGCTCTATGATTCTGCTGGATTATTCTCTCTTATTTGAGCTGTTTTGAGCTGTTTTGTTTTGCACGTGTGTGTATGTGTGTGTGTGTGTAGTGTAGCCTACCTGTCCCCACGAGCCAGTGAGCCACTGAGCACAAGGCTGGATGTTACATGATTGGATGTTGCTGGGCTGAAGGTCCCTGTCGCAGCGATCCTCCTCTGGACAGGTGACAATTCGCTGCTGCTCACCTCCTCCACACACCTCAGAGCACTGAACAACACACACACAATGACAGACGTGTGTTTTGGTACATGCAGTACAGTCTTGACAGAGTTGAGAGAGTTTTCTATTATCTATCTACAATCAAAACGATAATATCGGTATTTTTGCATGACTCACTATTACACTGCAAAGTGTTTGTGCGTACTTTACATCCCTGCCCACGACAACACACTGTTGCTGTTTAAAACTTTTGAATGCATTTTCAGGACCTCCCAAGTAGTCACTGGCTTTTGTTCATTTCAGTACAACAGAAAAATCAAATTGCAGACACTCGCAGACACATTGCAGAAATTGTGAGACATTTAGTCTTTTTTGTCACATAATTGTTGCATAATGATTCAGTTGAAAGCACAGCTTCTTCTCAGATGTCCCACTTGTTGATGGGTTCAAATGCTTGTGGGAAGCTCAAAAATCTAAGACTATTACTATTGTTTTCACTACAATCAGTCATATTATACTTTTGATGACAACTACGGTATGTTTCATAGTTGACTGTCCTCTGCGTTTACTTTTTTTCATTCCTTAACCTTGAGCACTTCATTCTCGAGTTACAATGTATCTTGGGACTGAAGCGCTCAACCTCTCACAACCTCCCACCTGAAGGCATCGATGCAGATGACACACACCACAAACACACAACCACAACAACAACAACAACAACATCATTCTAAAATGGACTGAATGTTGACTGATTTTCTATTTCAAGCAGCAGCCACCACCTCACACCTCAAATTGATTTTCTTTTGCACTGAAATAATTAGAAAAAACAGTTACTGGAAGGGCAGGAAGAAATATATTGAAAAACTGAAAATACACCACAATGTACGCTTTGAAAAATCTGTGCAGTATTATAAAGAAAAGGAAATGTAGGTATAATCATCCTGTTAAATGGTTTGTGAAAATGTTGTCAGATAACCGTTTCACTGCTACCTTACCTTCCATTTTATCCTATTTAGAAAGCATGTATACGCCACAGTAATTTTTTCACAACATCTCTCATTATTTGCCTCTCAGTACTCACCTGACCCCAGGAGGAGGTGTACCAGTCGAGACACGGCTGGAGGTTACAGGGCAATTGTGTTTGTGGCCTGGAGGACATGGCCCGGCAGTGGAAAGGTCGTAGGGGCCTTTGATCCCGCATGTCGAAACACTGGACCTCTCGTGATTTAATGCCACCTTCACAGTTCTTGGAGCACTGGGAAAACACATGGCGTCTTTGTTATCAAACAGCTTGAGCTGCTGGAGCTTGTAAGTATCCAGTGGTAGCGAGTCTAAGGCAACTGGATTTGCTGTGTGGTTTTAATGGGTTTCATCACTCATCAAGGAAGCTTAAGTGAACTGAAGGCAGCTTTTACTGATGGATGAGAAGCTAAATGTTTTCAAGACCTGACAACACTTTCAGATGCCTTTGACTTACCACATCTGGATAAGATGTGAGTGACTTTAATCATATGGTACTATAATCTCATCATCTTCAGTGTTTATTTTGAATATTAACCAAGAGTCTGCAGCTGCACCGCTGCCTCTGTGAGGCTGTACATAAGGTCAGTGATACTTTGAGCTAAGCAAATAATTAAAGTTTAATTTAATGATTAAAAGCACAAACTCGCCCTGAGGGGAACATGAATGTTTCAACTAAATTTAATGACAATCTATTCAGTAGAAATTCCCCTCAAAGCTACAAATGTCACCCTCATGTTGGCTCTAAATAAAGTCAGAGGATCACCAAAGTCATTGGAGTTTATCCACTGTGGACCATGAATATCTAATTTCCTGGCACTCCATTGAGTAGTTGTTGAGATATTTCACTCTTGACCAAAGTGTTGAAACAGCTGTGGCTAAAATGTGTCAAAATAAATACTAAAATCTATGTCATAATAAACGAAATAAAACAATTTTTTTTTTAAATACAGCTATTTTTCAGGGTAACAATTTGTAAAAACCTACAGGAAAACCATGATCATATCAAACACTGATTTTGGTAGCTATCTCACCTTACTCCACTCCCCAATATTCCATGTGGAGCAGGGGCGCAGGTAACAGCGCTGGGCTGGTGCAGGCCTCTTGGCCGGATCACAGTCAGAGTCTGAGCCAGTACTGCAAGCCAAAGTCCTCCAGATAGCACCGAGGCCGCAGCTGGTGGAGCACTGTCCACAAGTGCAGTAACAGGAAAGAAAAAAAAAAAAACTACGTCAACTTCATGAACTGAGGGTTGGATGTATAAACAGCTCCAGCATGCATAACAAGCCTCACTGATATTAATGCAAATCCTGCGCATCATGGTCAGACTTTCACCGTTTTCATGATGTAAATTAATGCAAATTCTTTAAAAAGTGATGTACAATACAGCAGCGGTGAGAGGAGAAGCAACCATCTTTCAAATGTGCCACAAAAATTCATAACGTAAACAGACATTAGTTGCATTGGCTCTAGGTGAAATAGCGTCTCCAAAGTATTAACGAAAATATGTGCAGGGACCAAAACAGGATGCAGTGTGTCTACATAACAGAAGAGACATAAATAGTGAGACACAGCTGGGGTTCAGAGTGTGAGGACTAACGCAGACTCACAGCGCTCCAGTTGCCGGTGACCCAGTAGGCAGCGGTAGTGACTCGTGTGGAGGCTGAAGTTTGGGCAGATGGAGGCGGATGGGTTGGCAGAAGGAGCACGGCAGGTGTTGGTGAGTCGATGGACGTTACCGCTGTTGTGCTAGGTCGAGGAGCGGCTGGCGAGTTTGTTGGAAGCTGATGTGAAGGGCCGGGATCACTGTCACCGCTGCTCCTCACCATCGGGGGAATGACTATTTCATTGTAGTCAAAACCAGCTAAATCAAACGGCGGCGCCTGGAGTGTGGAATCTGTTCCAGTTGTTTCCGTGTCGGCGGGTTTTGTAGGTACCTGCTCCGTTTGAGCTGGCAGGAGATCAGCTGGAGAAGGCCGAGTGGCTCCCTCCGGGTTCGTAGGAGGTATGATTTCTGTTCCAGTTAATGATGTGGACTCATCAGAGGCCTCTCGGTTACCTGAGCTTGGCAGAAAGGAAACTGGGAGAGTAGTGGATTTCTGAGAGGCAGGAAGTGAGGTTGTACCGAGGTCAAGGTCAGGATCCCATGTATTGCCCTCGCTCGTGCCATATACCGTATTAAAATGAGTCTGATCCAAGTCCAAATCCTCCAATGTGAAGGCAGTTGGAAATATTATTGATTGGCTGGTTGTTTGAGGTATTTCTGAATCACTTTCGTCCAGCTGGACTACAGTCCTGACCTGAATGAGAGTTTCAGGCGTGGGAGAGCCGACAGGTTCTGGACTCTCTGCATCCTCTTGGTCTGCAGAGACATCCGGACCTAGTGTGCTTTTTTCATTGAGACTGTACTCATAATCATCACGTCCCTCTGTCTCCCGAGCACTCGCTGTTGTGGAGACAATAGCACTAATAATTGTTTGATGTCTGGGAGTAGGAGCAACATGTTTTGGAGTCACCGTGACAAGCACAGTGGGATTTTCCTCCTCAGTGAAACTGTAATAGTTATTTTCAGCCTCCTCCCCATATTGTCCCCATTTCACATCCCGTTCAGGCTCCTTTGTAGTGAAATCCAGACTAGGCATTGTGCTAATGGTTTCAGGCCACCACTCATCGTCATGTGTCTCTTTTAGTGTTTGTGAATGCTGAGTCGTAGACATTGGCGGTGAGTGAGTAGGAGACACGGGCAGGAGATAATCCTCAGCCAGGAAGTCGTCCAAGTTTTCAGAATTCGTCTGAACAGACTCCTTTGTTGCTGACTTTTCGTCGTCCTTCACCTTGTCCACATCTGTGGTCTGTGGCTCTCCAGTGCTCAGAATGTGGGCGGTGGTCTTTGAAATGGTAGAAATGGCTGAAATAACTGTGGGAGCTCTTGTAGTTTCAGTAATGGCATATTCTTTCGCTCTGTGTGTCAGCTTGTCCTCCTGCGGAGCATCGAGTCTGTGACTGTCCCCTGAATCATTTCCTTCAGTCTCAAAGTCATCCGACAAGTCTTCATGGAAATTGATAAAATTATAGTCATAGTAAAAATCGTCGACTTGCACACTGTTTTGATCAATATTTTCAATGTTATTGTGGTAGTGAAAATCTCCCTCAACGATGTCATTAAGGTCATTATGATTTCTCGGCTGGGCTCTGGTGGTGCTGAATTTGGGAGGAGGTTTGGCTTCAGGAATGGAGTTAATTTCATTGAGCACTTCTTTGCTCGACCAGCCGCTTCCCGACCAGTCGATACCTCCAAAGTTATCCACAACCCGCGGACAGTCCTGAAGGTAACAGGTGCTGACAGCTAGAGGTTTCTTGTGGGGGTCACAGTCAGCGCCTGTGTTTCTAGAGCAGGTGACATTACGCCGACGCACTCCACTTCCACAAGTCAGCGAACACTGCAGGAAAGGAAAGAGAACAATGCTAATGAAATGCATCACAAGCTCAACTGGTATACATCATCAAACAAATGCATTTAAAAGGTAAAAACTAAAAAAGCAAAGCAAGATAAACCTGAATTGATGGTTTCCTGAAGGAAAAAGATACATCTAAACTACATGAGTGTAACTTTTTTCTAATATATTTAGTTGAAATATTCTCTACAACATATCTGGAAGTGGAGAGGTGTCGGTCAAGGCTTCTGTAACACAGAATATCCTGGCAGCAGTGCAGAGATAATCCCCTCTAAAGTTTATAGTGAGCTTCAAAAACATCAGAACCAATCAGAGAAGGCCACAGTCAGGGTAGAGAGCTCACAGTCGTCAATCAATATGTAATGCTGTTCTGGTCTACTACTACTCTCACATTGAGGCTTCAAGCTTGTCTTAGACTGAAACAGAAATTTTGACCTGGTGATGGTGCAAGAGGAAAAGTTTTGAGGGATCACCAAGTTACTACAACTCATCCTGAGGGGGGCATGAATGTGTGGACGAAATTTCACAGCAGCCCCTCAGAAGCACAAATGTCGAGCTGCTGGCGACTTATCCGGAAAAGTCAGGGATTACCAAAGTCAACAGAGTTCATCCTCTTTGTCTGTAATGTCTTGGCGAACCATCCAACAGTCGTTGAGATATTTCAGCCTTGACACTAAGTTGTGTACTGACCATCTGTCAGACTGACATCGTCTTACCTAGAGCCACGACAATAATGAGGTACAGAGACACAGCAGGAGAGGGGTCAGACCGCAGTGAACTTTTTTTAAATGCAGGCTGTAAATGCTGTTAATACACTTTTACTTTCTGGCTCTCCATTAGCTTCCAAAAAATTATTTGCTAGACTTCCTGGGGTCTGCACAAAAAAAAAAAAAAAAAAAATCAGGCTTCAATTTGAGGAAGTATCTTAAAGGTCATTCGTTTATTTTTAAACATGTTGCTTCTCTGTGTGAAAAGCAGAGATGGAAATAAAGGACATGACCTCTGTGTAGTTACCACTGTGGTACCTGAGCATTCAGCAGCAGCATAAATCATCTCTACCAATAAAAGGTGAATCTTGCGTGTAGCAAAAGGGATGTCTGTCTGTCTGTCTGTCTGTCTGTCTGTCTGTCTGTCTGTCTGTCTGTCTGTCTGTCTGTCTGTCTGTCTGTCTGTCTGTCTGTCTGTCTGTCTGTCTGTCTCAGTTAAATCTCTCAAGATATGAAAGCGTCCTGAGGCACGTGCTGCCCAAACAAGAACTAGAATGACTTTCCCCGTATTCCTCGCTGAATAATTTAACATCACTGACCACAGAAAGAGCTTCTCGCAAAATGTGAAAGCGGCTGTATAAATTTCTGGAGACAGACAGAATAATTTGCATTTTCATTTCCTTTTGAAACGGCACAGTTGCCCACAAACCAGAATATATCCCAGCCCAGACCCACCTTTGACCAGCTGCCAGTGCTCCAGTCTGCTGGGCAGGGGATGTGTGTGTTGCAGGAGGACAGAGATTCAGGTTTGGGCATGTGTTCGCATTCACCGGGCTGCAGGGCTTCCTGCTCCTCCACACTTACTGCCTGGATGCAGAGCACCGTCCTTTTAGCCAAGCCCGAGCCCCCACAGCTTGCTGAGCATTTCTGCCACTCCCCAACCCACCATCTAAACACAGACACACAAAAGATGCAAAGATTTCCAATTTAATTGTTCACTTGTGACGGAAAAAGGACAATATATTACAGCTTCGCAAAACTAGATGACTCAGAATCACAGCTTTAGATGACTGTTATAGAGGTTCACTGAGTATGATTTTATCGGACCCCAGCGCACAATGTCCACATTGTGTCTTTGGGGTTACTCTGGTTAATGGTCAATAGCAATGTCTGTAGTTTTGCTTCAGTAAAGTAGCGCCTTTGAGCCTCCAACTTGATGCACATTTTCAGCTGCCAAGTGATGAAATACACTGTTACAAGCCAAACACCAACTTCACAAATGAACAACCATTACTGAGATGTTTACTTTGTAAAAGGGCGATAGAGACAGAAAGTGAAACAGACTGGGACCTTTGCTCCTCCATAGCACGGTGGTTATTACGTTTGTTTCAAAGCTTGTCATTACTGAAAGTTGTTGGTGTCATTATCAAAAAATTATCTGTGATACCAGCAAGTGTGAATTTTCATGTTAATGGTGTTTTTTGTGGAAAAACACGGCTGTTTGGATTGAAAGTGTAGTAGAAGCTCTGGGCTGTGGCTAATTCTTGGTTTACTGCAAAATAAACTAAATCTATTCATTCTTGAAGTTCCTGTGTGTGTCTCGCCAACAGTGAAAATAAAAGTATTTTCATTTTCATTAATTCGATCACTCTTAAAAACATTACACAACAACACATCATGCAAAAACCTTTCAACAACACACACATTGTCCTTTCAACATTACTTGTAACGTCTACAAAAATAGTGACCAAAGCTCGGTGCATTTTCTGGAGCAGTGCAGCTGCTGCTGCTGATCCAGAAACAGTCTTTCTGCAAATTGAAAGCAAATTGAGCTACTTTCACTGCTGATGCTACCACAAGGTAACAAGCTGCACTCTGATGCAATAACATGTGTGGGAGTAAAAATATCTGAGGAGTGGTGTGTCTTTGATCTCAGTGAAGCAACCTGCCAGCTGCGTCCAACCAGCTATTATACCTCTCATGTCTGGTATGGAGAGGTCGTGCTTTCAAAATAACCATAATTTGTCCTCAATTCTGGGGGACTGAACAACAAAAATAAATACAATCGAAAAGTGGTGGTGGAAATATAGGAAAAATAAGTTTTATTCTCCACAGAGTCCCCCCTTGTCCTCGAGCGCTCACCTCCCTTTACAAAACACTCCCGGTAAAGATCCACCAACATTAAGTTATAAAAATAATGCAGTTATCAAGACACGACTCAAGGAAGCAAACGGCTTTGATAAACTGAATGAACAACATTAATAAAGCTTTTTATCCTACGTAAGTCAATGCCTCTTTAAGTGCTTTAGAAAGGTACAGATGTAGGATTGTTAAAAGTCACGAACAAACCACTTCTGAAGATTGAACTTGTACATTCTGATAGATGTGAGCTGATAAATTATGATAAAAGTAGTAGCATGTGCAGCTATAAACCCATGTATATGACATTTTGAGGTCAATCAAGTTGAAAGAAACAGTAAAGAATGTAATCTTTACTGTTAAAATGGCTTTATCGAGGACACTTATTCCATTTCAAAGCTATTAGAAATGCAGTTTCTTTTTACATTATTCTGTTACAATTACCAGTGGAATATTTTTCTGCAGTACAGTCATATACTAAACCTCTGACTCCAGCAGTAACCTTGGATTTGGTGGCTTGGATTATTAAACTACAGTGTGTTTTGCTCCTGCAGAGGTTGAAAAGCAACATTTATTTGCCAACTGCTGGTGTCATTAATGTCAACTCACATGGCTGGACATGGATCCTTGCTACAGCTGGTTTGGTTATCATCAGGACGGGTTAAGGGGTCACAGAAGTGCTCCTCCACTATCCCAGTTGTCTTTTCCACACAGTGGACAATCTGCCTCTGAACACCTGGAATAGCAGTGAGAGGAGATTAAAAGATAAACAACATTACTGAAGACACAGCGACATATTTCTACATTATAAAACCAGGATCCAACAGGAAACACTACTGAGTCATGAATCAAAACATCCATCTGGTTTCAAAGGCTTTTAAATGTAATTGAAAAAACAACAATTCCAGTGTTAAAAAATGTCAATTTAATCCAAATTTGGCAGGTTACTCCGGATAACATTAACATACATATCTGACACTAACGCAAGTGACAAAATCAGACCATGACAAATCAGTTCTCTGTCCTTCCTCAGCAAATTCTAAAAGTCTCCATCTAAAATAAGACGAGTTGGACCGAAACACCTTTTGCATTTTTGCCACACCGAGAAGTGTCACATCCAGGTTTCAGACAGCATTACACAAAGCAGTACATAAAAGGTCTTGTTTCCTAAGGCTGTGAAAGATTTATCTCCTCCTGTGATACCTCTCTCCATCATTACTCTTGCCCCCCTGAGGGGATTTCCACACCATCAGAGCAGGAGACACCTCTCACCTCTCTGCGTCCTCTGTTCAGGGGCCTGCTGAGGGCCACACTGTGTGTCTGATAGCTAATTTACACCTTCAAAGACACCTCATAAAAGGACAAGGTAGCTACCTAAGATTGGAAGCCAGATGGAGGCAGGAGGAGAAAAAACATGCAGGAAAACACTCAAAGCCATGATGATTACTTTTTGGCTAAATTTAATAGCTACTTGAACAGTTACTGCTCTGTGGCTTCACGCTGCAGTAGGTATTGTGCTCTACTGCATTTTGAATGTGGGGGTTGTCTGTTGATGTGCTAATGCTAATTATTACGTGGCTAAGTGGAGTAGAAAGTGGATTTTCTAAAGAAAAGGACAGGTGGGCTCATTTTTGTGACGCAGCTTGTCTTACCCAGGGGGGGACAAACATGTCACTTGAGGTGGAGACGGGCCAAGCATTTCCTCCACAGAAATAATAGTGAGGATGGATAGTAAAGCTAGTGTTGATGCATCCACAGCTATCGCGCTTATGGCATTTACAGTCATAAGCTTCACCTCCACAGCGGTATCCAACTCTGGACTCAAAAGACCTGGAAACCTACAAAGACTAGCCCACACGTAAAAACTATTTCCACCAACATACACAGATGTTTAGCCTTGGCAGGTAGAAAGACGTGAATACTGAACAGAGAGAAACATCGAAACTGTTTTGCTAATTTAAGCTTCATCCCGCGCGGAAAGACAAATAAACAGAGGAAAAACAACAAACTGTGAAAAGACTCGGGGACAGAGAGGCAAAGGCAACGAGGACTCTGTAAAGCAGGTGAGGAAGCTGCAACAGTGAGGTGAAGTTTTGATGAAATTTGTCTCCGAAACCTGATGAACTGGATTAAAACCTTTTTTTTTTTTTTGGCCTCACTCTAGTTGTAGAAATCAAACGTGTTTCAGATAATCCTGACGAGGTTGACACACAGAAACTGTATCAGAAAACAACGTGGTGCCATTAATAGAGAAATGATTCTGATGATTCTTTGATAAACAGGCAGAAGCCAGTGTGATTAAAAACCTAAAATGAAACATCACTGATCTTAAAATTCTGTTGGATGCTGCAAAAGACTGAGGGAAAATATTCAACCATATTTATATTTAATATTTCCAGACTCTGGGTCAACTTTAGATTAATCTAAAAACTGCACTGAGGAATTTCCCTTCATTACCTTTTTCATCTTTATGAAAGAGAAGACATTTAACCCTGAGAATCACAGCCGACACAAAAGGAAAAACTGAAAACAAAAACCATCAGTAACTTTAAATGAGGTGATTTTCTTTCCTCTTTATTTGAATGTACAGAAAATTTTGAACTAGAAAAATAAAGGGTTTGACCAGTTGGAGAATGTATAACTGTATTATTTAGTTTAATTATGAATTTTCTGTGAATTTCCTTCTCTCATTTAAGTTACACTTCCTTTACTTTCATGACATTTTATTCTCATTTTGATGAAAGTCCTGTATTTCCTATATGTCCTCCCTTTAATTGGGCCACATGTACTGCACACAACACAAGAAGACCTAAAGTAATTGATTTTCAACACCAGGAAAACACCAATATAACATGTTACTTCTTGTGTTTGTGTTTCAGATGCCATGAACAGTGGGTTCTTTACGCCTCTCTCTCTCTCTCTCTCTCTCCGTCTTTCTCTGCAAAGCTACAAAACGTATCTATGGCGAAACCTGAAGTTGGTTGTTTCTGTTACCTGCTCCACAGGTGACACTGCATTCAGTCCATGAACCATATTTCCAGAAGAAAACTGACACGGGGCCGTCGTTGTCCTCCGAGATATTTCGACTGATTGTGTACTCGTACCGCACTCCTGGATTGGTCTCCTGAAAGAGAAGCTGCAACACACGAGCCGACAGATTACAAATTTTGCCAAACGGACAGAAGACTATCAGACAAAATATTCCCAGGAATAGACCTCAAACTAAAAATATCTTTTGCATATTTCCTGTTTGTGTTTCCCCTTTGGAGGGAGGAGCTTTATCTGAACAGTATTTTTTTATGGCAAAGTAAACTATCATAATAACAGAGACATGCGGATTTTGAAAGGATGTGAGGAAGGAGACATACAGAGCTACAAAGGTAAAGTCTCCAAAGTAGTGATGATGTGCTGAGTGTTGTCTGGTTATTTTTCTGCTTTAGTACATTATGGCACTGAAACTATAGGAAACAAAGCCAAGTTTTATGACCCCCCCCCCCTCCATTTATGTGGCTTCAAGTTAGTAATGTTCAGCACCACCTCCCCCACCCTGATAAACCCGGGGATTTCAGAAAAAGACTAGCTCAGGAGAATGGACCTTGTTGGTCCAGGATCCAAAACCAGAACTACATTTGTGTGATCATACTGCAAATAAACATCCTGCACCAGTTCTTCATTCATGGAAAAGTAACTTGATCAATCAAACAAACAAGAAGCATCTCCTCTAGCGGCACATTGTACATCAAAAGCGTTGGTTTGTTGTTGTTGTTGTTTTTTTTAGCCATTTCTTTTCCATGTGATTAAAACGCTTTCCTGTTGTTCTGCTGACAGAAACTCACTTTGATTTATTTCTGAACACACAAACATTTTAAGTTAAAGCTGTTAATCGTACCTGAACCCACAGTGTTTCCATGGTGGGCCCGGGAGACGTCAGGTTTTCCAGGTGTCCTGTCCTCACGTAGGTGAACACTGTCCCGGCTGCTTTATACTCTCCGTTCCACTGGATCGTCCAGCCACCGTTCAGAAAATACTTGTTGGGGTTGTCGCTTCGCAGGGCCAAGAAATTGCCCGCTTCAGCCACCTCCTCAATGCGGATGTCCCGGGCTCCCTCAGGGATCAGTCCAATATCGACATAGCCTGAAGAACATTGTGTTTTATGAAAATGAAACTGAAGCACAAGGTCTCCTGATGTACAGTCGACAAGATCGTGGAGAAGATGGCACCTCATAACCAGGTCTTTCTTCTTGTGGCCAAAACAATAATGTGTGATAATAATGCACGATTTTTATAATACTTTAGATTATATAAGCAACCTGTGGAAACAGGGATGACAACACTAATAATGACGTTATTCAAGTTTATGCATAAAAACATCACACAACCAGCTAAATGGAATTCAATCAACCATTTTGTTTTATTATTTCTATTATTTACACCTGTGCTTTATGTAGTGTAACATGTCAAAACACCTGCTGGGAAAAGGCCCTTCACTGAACCAAAATAAATGACGAATAAGAAACATACCAAGTCCTTCACTCTCCTCAAACGTCCTCTTCACGGTCGTACAGGTGGATCCGTTACCATGACACACGCCACAGCGATCCTCCACAGCACTCGACTCGATCACATAGTCACAGCCTATATTCTGTAACACACGTGCGACAAAATAAATTCTACAATGCAATATCTAGAATAAACCTGACAGTGATTACACAACAAACGCAAAATTAGACAACAAACTGAATATCCCTCAACATCTTCCTTCTTGAGGGATTTAAATCAAAGCCAAACAGTTCTAATCTGTCATTCACATAAGAGCTTGATAAACCTTTGTAGATGATCTGCTCATGCTTACATCACTTAGTAAAAGCCATAATAAAATAGGACAGAGCACTCCCCTGCCTCACCTTGCCTCATGTACCTTTGACTTTCTCACGTGTGGCAGCTGATGCAAGTGAACATCCATTAATGTTGTTCTGTGCTGCTTGATCTTTATTTTCACACCCCGTACTGTGGCGCTCAAATCTTCTACTTACATAAAAGTGGCAACGATACAGTGTAGAAATATTCTCTTACTGGTAAATTCAAAATGTTACTTTACTAAAACATTAGCATCAAATCATACTTGATTCACTGTTCTGCTGGGCAGCTTCTGAATGTGGATCAGTGCAGTCGTATCCTTCTTCCTTCTATAAAATGGTAAACAGGCTGCACTTATGTGTGTGTGTGTGTGTATGTATATATGTTTTTCTAGTCTTACTGACCACTTGTAATTCTTTACAATGCTTTCCCCATTCACACACAGATTCATACAGCGCTTCTACCGTACATACACAAATATATACACACACTGATGGAACAGCCATCAGAGTCAATTCGGGGTTCGGACTGGAGTTGTCCTGAGCCACAGCCGCCACCGTTTTCACCCATAATAATATATCATAATGTATTTGTTGATTATATTTTGTATTGTTAATCAGAATCTGTAAAAAAAAAAAAAAAAAAAAAACTGGTAATTGAAGTTAGGGAATAAATGTAGTGCAGTAAAAAAGACTGTTTAAGTGTCAAGTAGAAGAAAATGGAAAGAAGCAAATAAAGCCCACCACTGACAAAAGGTTCATCCCACAACACTATAAATCCTGCTCAAAAGCTCAACATGATTAACAGGACTACGACTAGACAACAACTAAATCTACCCTATTATTGATTTCTTAAACTTTTTTTCTTAAGCCTGTATCTTTAATGTTACATCGACTCTCCAGAACGCAAAATGACGCAGGTGAGGAGGAGAGAAACCTCGTGCCTGACAAAAATGTCACAAAATGTCATGTAATCAGAGCCCAAGGTCTGTGATTACTGTCCACTCAGTATCTGGATCAGTGACTGGTATTTTGGCCCAAGGCGAGAGGCAAGAGCAGGCGGTAATCTTGAGAGATAACAGCCACCATATTGTTCTATCAGCAAGCTCATTTTCATGCAGAATGTCAAATGTACAACACTCGCCTGCAGTGAAAACAAGGTGAGGGTCAACTCAATATACTGGGCGACTAACAAAGCACCGGCGCAATGAACAGGATATAAGGATGGAATCATCAGTTAATCGTTCGGAAATCGAGAGAGAGGAACTGAAGAAGAGGCAATGGAGAATATGTGGAATAGTAGGTCCAGTACTGATACCTTACAGATGCCATTGATGCACATCTCTCGGCTTTTGTTGCCCTCATAGCACGGCGTCCCATCAGTGACAGCATCACGCATCTTTTCTGAGAAATGCTCATTCAGTGGACGGCAATGCAGCTCACAGGGGTTGACTTGAGTTTTAAGAGAGGTCAGACGGAGAAGAAGACAAAGTCGTGATGAGGGTGAACATGCGCTGCATAATAATGACCAACGGTGCTTTTATGTTCGTCACAGTTCGATCTGCTCACCTCTGTTGATGACCGCTTCCCACTTGTAGAACTTGCCCTTGTACGGCATGGTGTTAAAGTGACTACACTGGACGTCTCTGAAGGTGGGCAGGTCGTGAGGACACGGGGTGACGTTACAGATCTTGTACCTCCGTCGTTCTCCCAGACAATACTTTCCTCTGTTCTTAGGACTGTGGGATGGTCAAGGATGTTATTTCAGTGCTGCTCAATGACTTTTAAATTAAAAAAACAAGTGACGTTTTACGACATGTATTTGAGGTCACATTTGCTGTGTTTCATTTAGGTCATTTTGTTTTGCAGACACAGACAGAACAAAGTGGTGTATTGATAAGACACCATTCTTGCTCTGAGCAACCGCTCACATTTTGCAGGATGACACTGAAGCTTATGAATAGTTGCATTATATAATACAAACACATTATTCCCAAACCACTGGAAAACATTTTGATTCCCTCAGTGGCAAAAAACCTCTTCATACAACTGCTTTTCACACTTCACTCAATCAGAAATTAGAATTAGTATAAATACAATGCATCAGCCCTTAGCAACAGGAAAAGACTGGGCGGACGGAGACCACACACACAAACGTTTTTACACCAGCAACGTAACAACATAGTGTCTCTATAAATACAATTTGTTACCACAGGTGCAGCTTTTACAAGCACCCACAGGAAAGTTAAAAGTAAAAGTAAAAATTTCATACATTTACATATACGCTTAGCCCATACAAAAATATGTATGTTTATATCTATATGCCTATATTGGACACGTTACATAAATATATATCCATCCCAAAGCCTGTCAATATGTTGATATTACATAACATGGGTCCAAAAGTCTGAGACCACTTTCCCAGAATGGGAAGGTAAATATGTAACTGCTGAGAAATTAATAAGAAAAACACATATAAGCATATAGAAATTTTATATGTATATTGTTTTAATAAACTTGCATAAATAAATAAAATTATTATGTAATGAATGATTGCAACATGTTATACAATATGAAAATGCATCTTATCCCTTCATGTATTGCATGTTCATGTCCATGTTCATACAGAGACCCATGAGTCCACAACTGAGATGTCATGTTATGTTTGTCGGCTACTAAACAACAAGAGTTAAAAACAAGAACACTTTTTCAGCATTGTAAAGTATTTCTGTGTGAGAAACTTACACTGGGTTATCGCAGTCTCTTTGAGCCCCCTGGACACCAGCTCCACATGTCCTCGAACAGGCTGACCACTCGCTCCAGGACGCCCAGCCCCCATTCACACTCTCAGGGAGAAATCCAAATGCTACACACTCCCCACTGAAACACCACTGGTAAGAAAAACATCAAAGCTTTGCTTGTACCATGTTGTCTGAAATACACACAGTAATACAGTAAAAGTTTGTGCTGTGTGTGTCTGATGGGCTGCACGTCTCCAAATATCACTACATGCACTTTCAATGAGAGCTGAGTTATTTTTATCAGGTCTTATTTTTTCTTCTGGCACAAAGCACAGCTGAGTAAAACTCCTTCAGTGTTGTACAGCAGAGGCAGCTCACCTCTGTTACCATGGTGAAACTAATGAAGACACTTTAGTGAAATAAAACATTAACTTTCAGGGGAAACAACGAAAAGAGCCATTACACAGAACAAATGCCAACTGTTTAATGAGTGTAACCTTTGGATTTTATCATTTACTACATTAATTATGAGGCGAGACGTGACAGCTCAGGATACGGGTGACTTTGTTGGCTCTACAATCAAGAAAAACAAGAAAACATTGCTTTTTGCCAACTAATTGCTTCGCCATAAAAAAAGCAACATAACAAAGTGCGTTGGTATAGTTTCCTGTTAATGCCACAATCACCGTCTTTCAGTATTACTTATTATATTATTAAAGGTAAAGGTAATAACTGAAGTATTTATCGTCATTTTTTTTAAAATTGAGAAACATGTTTTATTGTTTTTATGTTGACTCCTGTGAAACTTCTAAAAGTAAACACAGCAAAACAAGAACTAAAGTCCTTCCCTTTAGGAACCAAAGACTGACAGCTGTCAACAACAAAACTCTAGGCGTTCTCAACACAATCCCCACGTCTCACTCTCCTCATGGACATGCAATGGAAGATGTACCTTGTCCTCGCCACAGCTGGTCCCATCCACAGCCCCATCCAGCTTTGAGTGGCAGGTTGTTCCCACAGTGCACCATAGGGTGCTGCATACGTTCTAGGAAAGCAAAGAGAGATTGACGTCTTACTTCCACAGTCTGTCTGCCTTTCAAACATGCTGTTGTTTACCGTTCATTTATTTTTCACTGGCAGCTCTGAGCGTGAAAATGTTCAGTGGCTTTTTATCCCCAGTCAAAACATACAGTAAACAGGCTTTACATGCTGCGTTTGGACCTTGAATGAAACTGAAAACATGCACACTCAGTGATCTGCTGTGTAACTGGAAGATTACCTTGTTTATACATCTTGTGCTAAAAATAACATGTAGTGCTCTCTAATTATTATAGTTATTCTAGCTGCTGGTGTTTTATGCAACAAATGTAGTTCATAGATTTGTAGTGCACAGGTTGTATTTGTCTAATTTTTAATTGAAGGAATTATTGAAAGCTTGAAGGATTACAGGCAGGAGTTATCAAGCAATGGTTGATGTCATCCCCCATCTCTTAGAAAAACCATCACTGTGTGAACGACCTGAGAGAATAGCCTTGGCAGTATGTATTCAGGTCTAAAGTATCCAGCAGCCATTGGTCCTATGCGTCACGCTCTACTGGACAACAGTGATGATTTTCAAAGACATTTCTCTATGTGTAAAATGTGCACTTGAAACCCATCAAATTCAAAACCTCCAATTTAACGCAGCAGTGCAACAGAAATGTGAAACTGGCTCTGTCTGAAGGTAAAACAAAATGTTCCTACCAGCGCCCTCACAGCTCATTAATTAACACATCGTATCTTGTTTGTTTGTGTGCTGTGCTTTCACGGGCGGTTACGTGGTGGATTATTTTGTCTCGTCGTCAGGTAGAGACAGTCCACCGCATGAACCCCATAAACTACATCATGTCGCTTCCGTGGTTCTGTATTTCGATGATTTAAACAAATGTGACATAATGTGTTGATAAGTGACATTTAGAGGTGCTGCTGGTAGGCGGATTTTGCTCTGGTGAAAGAGCAAAAATCGGCTCCAACACTGTTTCTTAACTATCTCCTGGCTCCAACTTCATATGCTACAGATATGAGAACAGTATTTTTCTCATCTAGCTTTTGGCAAGAAAGTGGATAAGAATATTTCCCAAACTATTCCTTTAAACTTATTCTTTAGTTTCTAATAGTGAACTTTTCACTTTTCTAATAATTTCTGATTTAAATGTACATCTGATGCAATCTCTGTATGTTCCTCTCAGGTTACAGCTCAACCTTTTACAGGACAGCACATACTGAGTGCAATTTTTATCTTTTACGCAAAAGCTGTGGTGGCAATGACAGCTGAACGCACTGTGACTCATAGCACCTGGGAAACACATTTACCTACTTAACAACACATGCACAGCATAAAGACATTCTGACGGCGCAATTTGGACCTTGCAGTGTGTTTCTGTATTTGCTGGTGTTTTGTTTTCTTTAGTCCCAGTGCGCCGAGCTCTCAGGGCTCTCACTGCAGAAAGTAATATCAGCTCACTGAGAATGTAAAAGGAACTTTAACATACAACAGACTGCAACAATAACAAATCAAAAGACCTATTTATTATTTCCTACAGTGGTAAAAAAAAAAAAAATCTGTGCAGACCGATAACACCAAAAGGTCAAATGTGCTGTTTATCAAGGAGTTCATGGCTGATTGGTGCAATTGTCTAGGTCCATTCCTGTTGTTTGACATTTGTGATGAATGTGTGGAGGACATTTTGCATTGTCGCCAAAATAGTCATACGATAGGATGATTTTTTTGAGATGTAAATGATTTCAGCATTTCAACTTTCAAATGCAATAATTAGCTGCTATTTCCAATTAATATGATGCAACTGCTAACGCATAAAATAAATACTGTCACGGAGAAACAGAACCAATTTTCACTGCAGAGACAAACTTCGAAAAAGAATTGTAGAAGTCATTTGCTGATTGTTCTGGTGATTCTAAAAAAATAAAATAAATAAAAATGGATCTGTGGCGCTCTGATCCTGGATCTGATTCTCTCGCTCCTTCCACATGAGCCATCCCCATCATCATCTATCCCGACATCCTTCTCTGACTGCACCTCATGAGAACATAAACAAGTCAATATAGAAACCCTCCCAAATCCCAATACTATCTTTGTATCGGACAATTTTTGTAATCCCTTTAGCCAAGAACAAAAAACAATCAGATGTGCCCCTGACTCTATCCCCAGTGCCGCCATCCAGAAGGCTGCACTGCAGAGCTATTGTCAGTGCAACCTCATGTTTGAAGCTCTATGTGAAATCCACAACTGTAGTCTTTCACTTCGGCACAGAAAAACAAGTATGTGCTGCCGTATGTGACTTTAAATGCTGCAGTGCATCTGTTAAATAGAGATACAGATATAAAGTAAAAGATCATGTTTTACAGTCAGTTAGTAGATTAAACAACAGGGAACTATAATGAAGGGAAAACACCTATAGACTAAATCCATCACATTGAGATTACAATGTCTAACATTCTGTGGGGATGGATGAACAGTAAGAAATGATAAACTCTCATCACAGAATGAATGGTGTAGAGTTTTTTGCAACAGAGGATGAGTAGAATCCAGTTGAATGTAAAGTAAACATGTTTATTTGTTCAGAGAGCGAACAAATAAATCATGGTTTAAGGACAAGCGTGTTTCTTTGGCATTTTAGTGGTTTCCCACTTTTCCTTTTTAAATACAGTATATATTAGTTTGGGCCTTCTGAATCTGACTTTCCTGCACGCTGTTATGGTGAAACACTAATATATAAAAACAGCATCAAACCAGTCACGTCCACTTCCTCAGGCGTGCATGCTATTTTTAATGCTGGTCATTTTAAATTCCTGAATTCTGGTTTCTGCTTTTTGTGATTATGGTAATAGATGTTGAAGTCAATCTTTTTATCCATTTATTTTGGAACAAAGTCAATATTAGATTTAAACTTAAAGAAAAAAAAACAAGACTGATGTTCCTTTGCAGGTGGTTAATATGAATGAATGAATAAATGACTTTAGAACGAAGTGAGAGAAGCAATGTTTCTATGAGCTACTCCCTATTTTTTATCTCATGCTCTGCTAGCACGCACATGATGACCCACAATTACTGTATAAGCGCCAACACTGCCGGCCGATGTAAACAACGGCCTCAAGGACACACGCCATACACTTTGGTGAGTAACACAAGAAGACTCTATGAAAAACGAACGCTACGAAACCGTGTGAGCGGGAATTAGTGACGTGGCTGGATTTGCTTGAATGTGTGGATTTTGAACATTGCGGCCTGTTGGTGTTGTGAAACTGTAAGTTATCCTAAAGTTATTATTCTTTCCTGTGGGTGCTTGTAAAACCTGCTCGTGTGGTAACAAATTGTATTTATAGAGACACTGTGTTGTTACATTGCTGCTGGAAAAAATGTACGTGTGTGTGGTCTCCGTCTGTCCAGTCTTCTCCTGTTGCCATGGGCTGATGCATTGTATATAAATGATCTATGCTCTGCTCCAAGCCAAAACACGCAGCAGTCTGACAAACTTTTAAGGCACAGCTTGGACAACGATGATTTGATTGAATAGAGGATGGAATTTGCAATACTCAAACGCACACACAGTAAAGGAGTCAGTCCCCGTCAAATCCTGCGTCAAAACTGTATGTGCATCGTTTCAACACTTCAAACACGCTAAGCCTACATGATTCTTCAGCAGTGAGCCTGAATACTGAGACTGGTTCAAGCCTCGTTAATCATCCCTTTGTTAATCTTCCCAGTCACTGTAATTGCCTCGTGCCATGTGTGACTCACGTTACCACCGGCGGCTGCACGATAAACTGTTCTTATGCAATGAATTCAAACCCGCTCATAATGCTAGGACTGATGAGAGGTTTAGTCAGGTCAAATCAAAGGAAAGAGAAGTTGTAGCGAGGAAAAAAGACATGAAACAAGACAGATCAAAACAACCCTGGCGCCATGGGGGGACATAAGGTGGAGTGCCCGCCTCAGATAGACTACCCCACCTCAGTAAAGATTAAGACCTAATTTGATTTAGTTATACTATTTTAGTTTCATTTTAAAATACGATAAATATAATAATAATAAATATTCACTAAAATCAAAGTCACTTCATAGCCTTCCTTTTCAAATCCACTTGATTGGTTGGATGCTGGGAAAGTGAAGCCATTACTGGATTTAACCAAGTCTAAAATGGATGAGTCGCAGGTGCGTGTCAGTTTTTGGAGAGTCCGTGTGCAGGTCACTCTGGCGACAAAGTACCTTTAGGCCAGCATGTCTCTTGTTACACCTGTGTTTTCGATGAAATGCCTGTGGTTCTTACTGCGTTCAAAATGTGCGCTGACATTTGGGGGCCTCAACTGCTATGTGCGAGAATTATTTCTCTATGTTGAAGAACGTATTCCCCGCCCCCCCATTGTTTTCCCCTCGCACTGATTCTGGAACAAAACAGAAAAGAACAAATGAGGACAAACATGTACAGCGGCGAAGAGAAGGAGAACATAGGAGACCCACATTCTTTGCGTACAACCTTGCGTGGCTTTGTTCTGGATTTATTTTGGTGTGATTATTGTTATAGAGAGTCTTACGTCCATGTCATCACACAGCAGGGACCCAGATCCATACTGCAGCCGACACTGATGGGCAGCGCTGTACAGAACCCCAGGAAGCAGCGAGTTCAGAGACAGCTTATCCTTCACCGGGGGATCATCAAGGCACCAGCCCCAGCCGCGACTGTGAGGGGTGGGGAAAAAAAAACAGAATCTTGTGAGAACACTTTATAAAAGGTCTCTTTGTTATATATACACACACACACACACACACACACACAGTACAAAAAGATTCTATCATCTTTCTTCAGTTGATTGTTTCAACTGAAAACTTTTAGAAAGACTACAATAATTATTCTGGACACATACAGATCAGCAGGTTTTTCGCAGGGATTATCCAATACCCCAAATGTAATGCACTTGAACTTTCTCGCAGTGGGAAAAAGGTTTTGCTTGGAATAAATGATAGAAACGAACGCAACAATCTTCGTCAACACACAATCCAAGAAACAATGTAAACTCCACCTGTAACGACAAATTAGTGCAGTAATTCTTTTATAATTATTAAGGTTTTCTCTAGTAGAAAATGGGTGAAAATCAACTGAAAAACAAAAATAAATAGAGAAAACGTGATTTGCACCGCAGATAAGCACATGACCGAGGGCGATGCAATTCACATTACTGCAAATGGTTTTACACTCTCCGGCTTATCTACAGGTAGAGGTACTGTGCCTGGAACACACAGCCAACGTCAGGTCAAGTCAATTCATTTATAGAGGACATTTAAAAACTACTACTTTATCACTACATGAATTCATAAAGTGGTATAATTCGAACTCTAAAATTACCGGAACAATGTAATATAGCAGAGTGTTCTGGCATAAATTGAAACTAATTGGCTTGATGGGGATGCTCTAATTAAAGGTCAAATTTGAAGCCATCTTGGATACAGCTCCAGCGGATACCTGGATTTTACTATTTAATTGAGACCTTATACTCAGAGCCAATTTGATTTACATTGTAAATCAGTCGTATAAGTCCTTTAAAATCTGTGCAGTATTGTCAAACACAGGCTTATACTCTGCGCATGGCTTCTTTATTTGTAAGAACAATTCTCATGACCCCCTCTTCTCCCACAATATGACAATCAACACACAAGGAAATTAAGTCTGCTCGTTTTAAATTATGTGATTACCAAGGCGAACACTGCATTGTGAAAACGTTTTATCAAAATGGACTCTTCCAGGAAAATGAATAATTGGTATCACAGTGTTGTATTAACAGACTTGTCAGCTGTGGAGTGGAATATGATGACAAGGATAAATGGGTTTTCACATTTCCTTCAATAAAGCACACGACTGGTGAGAGGAATAATCTTCAGAAATAATGCTGCAGTGTAGAATAAGTTCAGCTTCCTACTCATTATTTATCTTACATCTACTGAATTGGGCAAATGCTCTTACTCAGAGTGACATAATCACTGTTTAGTTTTCATTACACTGTCAGAGGTGAAGAACGAGTGGAAATACGTATGTAATAAACTGCTGAAACATGTTTCTGCTTTTGTACAGATTTCCTATATCACTGACATTATTTCCATGTTACGAGAAATACAAGACCAAGTGTTAGAAACCACTGAGTTGATAAGATATTCAGTCAAATGAGATTTTATAGGCTACTGTAGATCAGACCTTGACATGCACTTTAATGACGCTATTTGTAAGTTTTGCTATTGCTACATAGCTAACATTAGCATTAAGAGCTGTTCACTTACCAGTTTTTAAGGAAATGTTGTGAGTTCAATATTAAACTTAATTCCTTTACTCACAAAGAGCTGTCTGCAGCGGTTGAAAACAACCCTCTCGTTTTGCCTCTATGTCAATCACTTCCTTTCTCGTGCTTAAGTTAGCATGCTAACCAGCTAGCCTCGACCCGGTCTCATCGGCCGCCTTTCTTTTCATTCACTATACTGTACATGTAGCCCACACAACAATTTTGTTAGAAACTAGCCCTCAACATTTCTATGTTTTAAACGGGAGAAAGACTGAAAAAAAAAATTCCCCAATAAACAATGCAAAGAATCTTGCTAGCACCTGTGAGGCTGTACTTCAAGATAAATGCTAACGTCAACATGGAAATATGCTCACAATAACAATCCTAACATGCTAACGTTTAGATGAAAATATTCATTATGTTTGGTATCTCAGTTTAGCTTATCAGTGTGCTCAATGAAACACAGAAAAGCAGCTGGGAATGTCACCAGAATTAATCACGTTCAATTAAACTTACATTAAAAGTATCCATCTATTTAAAACATGTACATGTATATTAAATGAAGTCAAAATTGACATTAGATTAAAAGCAATTTCATTTTCATTAACCTCACTGACCCAATGTTTTGATATACTGCGGGTGTATGTGACTTGTGAATGCATCTTAATTTAAATTTATTTTAAGAGACTCTTTGGGAATGTCATTAGGGGAACTTAGCAAAGAGTCTATAGCCAACCTGTGTTGTAAATGAACATATAGAGAACATATAAATTTAAGGTCTGGCCAAATGATATAATAAAAATCCTACTACATTATTTTACACCGTAATGACTAAACACCTACTGTGAGAAGCTGCAATCAAATCAGCGGGCTGTGTCGCTAACAAGATGTAAAGAACTTGCACAGGATGTCCATCCATCCGTCCATTCGCTGTAACACTTATCCTTGGAGGGTCGCCCTGGACAAGTTGCCAGTCTATCACAGGGCTGACACATGGAGACAAGCAACTGTTCACGCTCACATTCACACTTATGGGCAAGTTAGAGTCACCAATTAACACAATTAACCTGTGTGTCTTTGAACTGTGTGAGGAAGCCGGAGTACCCACGAGGAAACCCACGAGAACAGCAGATTCAAGCCCAGAACCAGTGCTGAAAGTGCATAACACTGAGCAGAGCGGCTGCATGGGAGTGAACCACAACAGTGAACTGAAAGATGCTAAAATGCTACGTATAACTGAGGAGAACTGCAGAGTAGTGTGATAATTCTTCGTGGGTTTGTCTGTGGTTTGATCTCCAGCATACATTTGTACACGCCTGTTGAAAATGATTCACCCTCATGGGTTCAACTAAAGATTTAAACTATAGATCAGATTTAAAGAAACGGACGCTGACCGTTGAGCATTTAACAACGAAATCATTAACGTAAGATGACCTCACATTGACTAATGAACAGCAGCAATTAAAATGTTCTCCATGAGTGCGTCTGAACTGAAAAGCAGCTCAGAGGGCAAATTAGATTCTTTGTCAAAGCCAGCTTTCCTGGAAATGTGTACACCAATTAATGAACTCTGTTGAATCCATACATTTCACAATTTCAAAAGTAATTCCCATTCATATGAACCGTAACCAAATATGCTGTGTTAAGTGTGAAACATCTCTGCCTCTATGGCCTTTTGGGGAATTCTTCTCTGGACATTAAAGAGTGGCTCCGTTTAATGGCCCGTCTATACGATAATATCTAAACCACTCATCTCAGTGTGACCTTCTACATTCCACATAAAATAACACCTACAGACCAAAGCTCTGAAGCAGCACGAGCAGAAGAGGCCTGCGGGACAACTAAAGCCATATACAATAGAGGCCTTGTCCTGCTGTCAGCGAAAGAGATAAAACAGAGAAAATGGGGGAAAATTCTGGCATTTAGAGAAAAGAGATGGGAAGACAAATATCAGTTGTCAGGTCTCATGTGTAGATAATGATCAGTGCAGTGGGTTTGGAGTGGGTAGCTGGATATGGAGGTTAAAAGGCACGGAGAGAGAAAAAGAAGGGGGCGAGGTGAAGGTGTAGTCTCTTTTTCTTCATTGATATAAACATAAATGCTTTTATCATACGTAGGAGTAAGTTGTTTCTGGATCCCGAGCAGATTAACTCGGTTGCCTTTAGTGTCTGTTGTGTTCTGTCAACAATTACATGATTTCAATCGTCATTTCCATTCTGTCAAAATTTCCACTCAGCATGCGAGACTCGTTAGCAGCAATAAACTCTCACCTGCGTCAGGAAACAAGGCTGAGGTGCTACAGCCACACAAGCCGCCCTGTGAGGATGTAGACCACTCTGACATGCTCATGTTTAACAGTCATACTGTTCACAGTCTTAGTTTAGCATGTGTGTGCATGAGTGTTAACATCTGCTAATTAGCACTACACACAAAGTACAGCTAAGGGTTGCTTTGAATGTTAATACAATGTTGACATGAGGATGGAGCCAGATGTAAAGTCAGGTAATCCACCCGACCTTAAGAGTTACTGTGACAACCCATCCACTCGTTTCCAATATATCTGACTTAAAACACTCTGCGCCTACAGGGAGTCAACACAGGCTCCCAGCTGTGACAGCCTGCTAGCTTCGCTGTGAGATAGGAATTCATGCAGGACACAACCATTACAAGAATACAAAGAATACAAGTATCCGTTATTTGAAGACAAGGCGATTTTTTCCAGCCAAAAATGTCACACTCAATACAGTAAAGCTGGTATCGTCACAGCCTTATTCTCCAGGTCTGTCTGTCAGTCTAGCTGCAGCTCTGTCTGTTTGACATATTTCTACGTTTTTTTTTTAATGGATTACCATAAAATCTGGATGAATTGTAATGGCTTTGGTGTCTCTTTCCTCTTATCTAGTGCCACCAGCAGGTAATACTCTCCACTTAATTAAACACTGCAGTTCTTACAATATTCCCTCAAAATCTAATTTCACTAAATTCTGTTAAGCCACAGCTGCACTTTACTTTGAGCACAATGCTAAACATAATAATTATAGTCCGACATAATATTATCTGGCCAATTCCTTTTGATAAATAAAACTTTTATTGTTTATGAAATGTGTGGAAAATGGTGCTTTTAAGCACAGATGCATCTCTCTCTGTCTCTTTTATAATTGCCACAACAAAGACACACATACACAAACACACAAACCAGCGACCTTTGTGTTGCAAACTCCCACGGGTGTAAATATCGCCCCGCAGCCCTTTTTTTCCACTGGAGTCAAGACGCTACAATGCTGTCAAGTAGGTGAACACCCACTGAATGAATTCCAGATGCTTGGAGCTGAGAAACTGGGGCAACTATAGTGAAATATGTCAGACATTCAACACATGTCCTGTTGAAGCCAGTCTTTGACAGTGGCAACACACACACACACACACACACACACAAACACACACTAGATAGATACAGACAAGCGTACAGATATACAGTATAGGCGTGTATTCTTATTTAACTGTAGTCTCAGTGGATGAATATTTAGACTGACAATGCTTTAAAATCAAAAAACCTTCCAATCACCAAAATTAGTAATTTACATAATTTCAGTTTTTTCTCTTTGTTACCGTGACGCCACAACACCTGAAAATTAAGAGTTAAAACACATGTAGCTGCTGCTCTATGAATCTACATGATCGACACGTGCAAATTCCACGGCCAGTCATTTGAAACACACGGACAAAACAGATTTTCCTGCATGATTAACGAAGCTTGACGAGGGCGAATGGCACGAAAAATTTTCCACAACTCTGCAACACTTACAAAAGGTCAGTTTTGATTTGTGAAGAAAAAAAAAAAAAAAGGAGAAAGCTGAAGCTACATAATGGACAGGTAAAGTGTAATTTATCCGAGGCTCTAAGCAACGTTGCTGATAAGGGAAAAAGAGAGCACCGCTATCGGATCTTTTCTTGGTATCAGCAGATACACTGTCAGTAATTAAAACTGTGGAACAACTTCGTCAGCGTTTATCCGCGGTGTATCTCCGTCTTGTGCATGAACAGGAGAATTCTTCATATTAACAAAGTCAGCTGCGACCTGAGATGACAGGTGTATGCTCCAGTATAAGCCGTCATCATGATGACAGAGGAATCTGGGAGTCATTTACATATACAGTCGAAACTCTTATTCATCGTATTTTTTCTTCCATACATATATTATATATACAGTATATATAAATACAGGTTACTGACTGCCTGTCGGATCTTCACGTGGACGCTTCAGAAAGTCATGGGCACATGAAACCTTGAACTTAAATAGACAAATGTCGTGTGAGATGTGAGAGCAGTGTAATCATCATCACAGCATGTTTGGCACTCACTCTAGGAAGCGGGTGATATACTGGCGACTGCAGTCTGACCACCTGGGCAGGGAGGTGCCGTACAGGAGCTGTGGAGACATGACGAAAGGTCGTTTCCCAATGGGTTCACAGTCATTACCGTTGCCATCATGCTGAATCCCAAAGCTGTGACATAAAAGCACATCCCACAGAGTGGGCAATTAACGTGAGTGGGCACAACATGTAACACATACTTCATGGTACCTCTACAATGTGTCTGCCTGTGAATTGTGCATGCATGCATGTCAACATTTAACGTTTATCTATTTTGTCGTGGGTGCAGCGGTAATGAGCCGCGAAGTCATTGCAGAAAAGAAAAATCTGTGCACAGCAGTGATAAAAGAAATCACAGTAATCAAAATGTTCTTAAACACACTGCACTTGTAACGTCTCTTTCTTCTAAGGCGTCGTGCAGTGAGAATTACGCAGCCAGTCTGATGCCTTCTGATGCTGGTTAAATGTAAGTGAATTGAAAACCCTCCAACTTCTTCTGAATAATTTAACAAATCAAGGTTTCAGCAGATAAATTCAGTCCTTACATGTGTGAAATCTTTTGCAAATGATTCAACTGAAAAAGAAAAAAAGTTCTGTGCTGTTCTTGTGAATTCATTTGAGTATCAACAAAACATTATTCAAACTAATTTGACCGAATAAGGTCAAAGTCACAAATGAAGCTTCATGGAAAAATGTAGCTTCTGCTCATATGATGATGTACAATGTCTCTGAGGGTTGAATGTTTGATTCACTAGCAGCTCGACATTGTGCTCCTTTTCAACACATTTGACATTTTGACAAATAAGAGGGTAACCATCACCAGCTGTCTCAACTCTAGCTAGCTGTTACTTGCATATTTAATCAGCTAGGCATAAATGTGAATTCAGTTAGCCTAGTAAATCAGGAGAGGAGACCGAACTGAGCTGAAGATGGAAAACAGAATCTAAGCTAAATGGGATCTCATAATGGAATTGTGGGAAAAACTAGTGATAACAAAAACATACAGTTTCATTAAAAAAACCTCCACCATCACACTTTTGTACGCTAGACACAACCTCACTCTGTCAGCCCATTGTAAATCCACTTGGGATTCACAATGGGCTCCTGTCAATCCAGGACTTGTTCATGCATTCAACATAAAAACACCCTTAACATTTATTCAGGACTATCTGTCAACCATGCACACGTGTGGTGGAAAATAAGGTCAATACCTTTCCAAAGCAGAGGAGGTAAAATACTCCAGGCTCATATGCACCGTAACAATCAAGATGAACAAATACAATGAAGCTATCAGACACGCACTGTTTTCAATTAGTCTGAAGAGAATGCGATAATAATTGCAAATTGCGCTGAGAAATAAATGGAGTGGCGGAGTAAAGGAGACAATGGTCACTTCTGTATGTGCCTATTACAGTTTGATTTATTCCTCACAGTTACAATACAATAATACAATAGGAGGGTAGTGGCAAAAGAAATTTGTGTTTTTTATATTTTCTATAAAAGGAAATAAATGAAATGAAATTTAAATTATAGTGACATCTTGTCTCTGTGCAGCATTAAAACCATATTTCCATTTACAAGTGTTATGTTCATGGATAGCTATGTGACCGCAAAAGTCAACTTTTAGGTTAATTAAATAAAATGATTAAATAAAATGGTGATAACAAGTTTTTCTCTTATTTTTCCCCCCCTGCTCATTATTTGTATGTGTGTGTGTGTGTGCTGTGCATTTAACCTTACTTGTGTCCCAGCTCGTGAGCTACAGTGAAGGCCAGTGGAAGTCCTGTGTCCTCACTAATGCTGCAACTGCGATGCGGCTGACACATCCCTGCCACATGGGACAGGCCCAGAGTCTCACAGGGCATGTTGATGGCTGCACAGATGTCCTTCCTTTGAAAAGCGAAGGTGGAGCGTTGGTTAGATGTCAGTCGAAGCGGAAGGCAACACAATGAAGATCTGAATTGTAAGGCGATGGAGGACAGATAAAAGATGATGGGAGGTTTGTCTGGTGACTCTATGAGGGCGGTGTTTTTTTTTGTTTGTTTTTATTGGAATATAGCAAATGTTAGGACGCTAAAATGCTAAAGTACAATCATCATGTCACTTCGATTAAGAGGCAACAATAACAGGAGCATCTACCACTGTACATACATGGGGAATTTCTTACAGTTACATGATCATTGTACCACAAACCACCAACTGCTATCACATGCATGCTCCTTTAAATCCACTGAAAGTATTTGATTTATAGTATTTATAGTGAATATTTTCTGAATATCCTTGATTCTCTGACTTGATTGTACAGAAAGTTCTCACAGTCATAGTCAACAAGTCCGGGGCCAGAGAAGGACAAGAAAAGGAGGCACAATAGAAAAACACCACGCTATTGAAGAGGATAAGTGACATTAAGCGACTGATAATGTATCAGAAGAAGAAGAAAAAGGACAGAGGGAGCACGAAGGATGTCTTTAGTGAGTCGAAAAGACAGCTGAACGACTCAGCTCTTATCTCTCTCCCATCAAAGGGAAGGGAGAGAGATAAGATGGCAAAAAAGCGAGATAACTATTATTTGTCCTGAATTTGCAGCTTTTAACAAACTCTAGTATTCTCTGCTTTTTTACCCACCAGCCATTTATAGCCAACAAGCCACAACCACCGGATCCTTTGTTTCTGTGTTGATACCCACTCATTCACCTTTGACACGACTTCACATTACAGTCGCTCTTCTCCTGATCTTCCATTGATCCATTTCTGCCTTTTCCTCTTACGTGATCTAAACTGACTTCTCGTCTCTTTCTACTTTGACCTTTGACTCTTGATTCCACAAGATGTTGGAAACACTCCTCTGAGATTCTGCTCCATGTTGACATGATTACATCACATCATTTCTGCAGATTTACCAGCTGCACATTCACGCTGCCGATCTCCTGTTCTGCCACATCCCCCATGGCGTCGTATCGGTTTGAGATCCGGTGACTGGGGAGGCCACTGAAGTTCACTCGACTCATTGTCATGTTCATGAAACCAGTTTGACTTTTGCTTTGCGACACGAGGCGTTATGATGCTGGACGTACAAGATGCTTCACTGTGGCCTTAAAGAAATGCACATGGTCAGCAACAACGCTCAGATTGGCCGTGGAGGGGAAACACTTTGGGTCTTGTTTATGGGTGTATAGCACAAGTAAAGCGTGCGCCTGCGTGGACAGCTGGATTTGATTAAAATAGACGTGTATCCGTCCCGTCAGACACCTGTGAGAGGGACGACTGAAAAACGCAGCTGAAATACCTCCGGTGTAGACGCGCCATGAGCTCTGCCAAAACGTGGCTGACCTACATTCAAACCACGCCTGAGCGCACACAGAAGTATAACGGCTTGGGTTGAACTCTATATCATTGAGTGAGAAATGCAAAAAAAGAGAGCGAGAGAAAGAAGTTCAAACCCAGCATCCTCTCTCATCTCCGTACAGCTGGCCAGTCCGCGAGGGAAGTGGATGTGAATTGCAAAAAAAACAAACAAACAAAAAAACAAAAAACAGGACCAAGGTGAAGGATATCTCCTTTCTACATTTCATGCTTCACAAGTAGCAAAATATCATATCATTCCTTCACTTTCTGTTCCTTGTTTGCTAACGGCATCTCAAACTAACACATTTTGCTTGTGTCTTAATAATGTGAATGATTTGAGAGTTTCGGGGGCCTAACCTTAACAAAAGCTAAGCCAAATAACAGATAAGAGAGAAATGCATTTGCAATGAGTGTGTTCTGTGTGTTCTGAGTATCATTGTAAATATCGGCTCCATTATGCTCCACTCACTTGTACCAAACTCTTTCTTGTGGCTTGTGTTTATCCAGTTCTCGATTGTGCAGCTGGGGTTTGGGGTCACAGGAGTTCGAGTGAAGCTGTGATAAAAACGCTTCATCTGATATTTCCTTGGACTTCCTCAATTACACTCCAACTGTACTAATAACAGGAGGTATTGGGTTGGAGCCCTGTGTTGGCAGGCTATGAAAGAGGTTAATCAATATGGGCAATAATTACAAGCCAAAAGAATATGTGGGCCCCGGATAAGGAACTTGTATGATACATGTTGTAAATATGGCTTTTAATGCATCTTTAAAAGCTAGGGAAGACTGGTATTGTTTGCCTTAAGGGGAAAAGTGCTTCACAAGGTAAAAAACGGTGAAATTGGAAAAGATCTTTTTTACTTTCCTGGTCTAATTGTACCACGATTAGAGCCATTGTTGTGAGCTCTGATGATATGAAGGATACAAGTGAACGACTCTCGCCTGGAGCGGCTGTTTTGAAAAAGAGACCTTCTGGATTATTCCTTTAGTTGTTGTTTACCTGTCCTGACTTATTTTAATTAATTCTGTAAATCAAATTCACTCATTGTACCTGCAGCTCATCTGTTGAGGCATTGGACATCATTATTTTGTCACATCGATCAACAGCAGTGTTAATTCAGCGTAGTTCACTACAGGGGGTGACATGACAGCCGTCAGATATCAAAGCATAGCTTGTGATAAAGATACATGCAGCTTTGATTCTGCTCTCTGCGACCATCTAAATCAGTATATCAATAACTGCTCCGGGACAACGTGACAAAAACTAATTATGCATTGCATCTGTTAGAAGTGGTGATCATGTTTGGTTGAGAGAAAGGAGAGCTCGGTCAATTCATTTACCTGGTGAGCAGGACGGCTACGTCATGGTGCAGCGGGTGTTCCTCTCCTTTCATGTTGAGTTTCTTCTGCCACTTACAGAAGCTGTTCAGGCTGTTGTCAGCATGGTGTGTAATCTTTAGGTCATCCTGTTATCCACATGTCGCATTGAGATGAAGGGACGAAAACATACAGAACAAAACCACTCAAAAAATCTGCAGCTAATGCACTCTAAGCGTACAAAATGGGAGAAATAAGAGGGAGAAAAACAGAGGTTCTGTTTGATAAAACTGCTCCAAAAGTAATTGCTTTACATTCAGTTAAATTGCACCATCAGTGCTCTCAGCCTTTAAGTGGGGCAGAGAGACAAAAGTAAGCATCATACATTACTGTGTTGTGTTTATGTCATTTGCACGTCAACCCTGTCAGCACTTAACTTCCGTATATGTTTACATATGTTTTTTCAGTTCTTTTTTTTGTTATACATGCATTTACTTTAGCTCTGTTTATTTGTTCCATTCATATCTATATCTTATTATATGCTGCTGCAGGACACAGTTAGGTTCTATCTGATAAGTGCCGACTGCTGGCAACAACATAAAAGCAGCAATTATTTTGAACAGGAATAACCTCAGAATGAGTCATTATGTGATGTGAATGTGATTATGCAATCAGTAATCTGTATAGAGGTGCCATTCATAAAATACCTGTTGAGCAGAGAACTGACATTCACAGCTAATCTGGTGACATTTAGCTTCTTTGGACTTTCAGAAGTAGTTTAACATCAGGTATTTTTATCTACAAAAGAAAATATTTATCCACAATGTAAAAAATACTTCACTGGCCTTTGCTTGGCCTGTTTGCTTGAATTAAGCTTATTCCATATCCAAAGCATCATAAAATTCTTTAAACTCTTAAAATACATAGTTGTAATTCACTCATTCATTCATGTACTCGGCCACAAAGAGAGACATTCATAATCAGACACTGTGAATCTCAAAGCTCATGTCTGCTGTTGGTGCCATTAAATCCAGAATTCATGCTTTTTAACCTCAAAACCTGTTAAAGTGTCTTTCACCTGCTTTGCATTTTCATTTAAAATTCAAACTACTGTTGGAAATATATTAAAAGGGACATTCTGGGTTTGACATTATTTGCTTTCTTGTTGAGAGCTAGATGAGAGGTCATCACAGTATGAAGCTACAGCCTGCAGCCAGTTAGCGTAGCTTAGCATTAAGACTGGCCAGCGATTGCAACACAAAACGAACACAACAACTTAGATTTTACGACACAGTTTAGGATCAGGCTTTGTGGGTTTTGTTTGCATGTTAACTTGAAATAAGTTTGTTTTTGAAAGCCCTACTAAGCATGGCCTAATATTATTACTACACACATGCACATTCTGTTTAGTTTGTCTTTGAAGGCGGAAGCTTAGTTTGCTTTAGTTTTTTTTCCAAACTAAATAATCTCAAATGAACCACGTTTCATCATCAGCATACACCGATATGTTTTTACCTCGTCCTGCTCCAGTAGGATGACTCGAACAACCACAATGTTGATCGCATTTCCAATACTGGCATCTCTGAACAGACCCGCCACCTGTAACAGAAAATTAAAATTAATCATTTGGACATTCATACAATATACAGGCTGTTGATATATAATGTGTTTTGTATAATAGGCCTTTCGATGTAGTGTAAACATAACTTTTTATATCCTAAAAGGAATGTTGTATTAGAGTTGCATCAGAGCCATTACTCCGGCATCTCACTTTGTGAGCTATTTTGACTGTTTGATTTCCATTTCAAAGCTTGAGCATCCACTTAAACACAGCACTTACAAACTGCCTCAAAACTAAACAATGAGTGAAACATTTCCTCTTTTCAGATGCATCTTGTCATGTCTGTTTGGGTATTTTGATTCCTTCTATGCCGCAAGCAATTCACAACCTGGCCCGAGTCAGAGGAATGCCTTTTCTGAGGGATGTAGACAGCAAACAACCTCGCACCTCAGAGGTTTGATAAAGTGTGTCTGGCATCGTAACATCAATCCAACCTCTCAACATTTATTTATTCCACACATTCTTACTGAGTATTAAAAATCTAAAGTGCCTTGTCCTTTGAAGGACTAACAATCTATGATTATAGCTTGCAATTATATCAATTTAACCTCTTATACTTTTAGAGTACACCACACAAATGTCAATAAATGTTACGAAAATAACCTTTCAACTCTGAGTCACCGCAGCTTTGACTTTCTAGTTTGTGCTCATCTAATATGAAAAAAAAAACTGGCACCCAACACCCTAAAACGAGGGTTCGCTTGGATGGTTTTTGTCACTGGGTTATTTTATATCCAGCATCATATACAGCATCAAAACCTAATGAAAAGCTTGAGTGTAAGAACTGCATTTAAAGAAGTCTATAGCTTTGACAGTGACTCGTGTTCTCGAACTGCGTTACCAAGCGCAGGAGGCAGCATGGGGCTGATCACTGGAGAACAGCGAAGGATCATGGTTCACCGTTCACCGTGTGGAGAAACAAGTGAGAGCCGAGGAAGAAAGGCGCTCAGGTGAAAGGAACCGACACCGATCAAGAACGTGAACAGCAGCATCATCATCATCATCATCATCATCGACTGGCTCTCCGGAGGCTTCCTCTCAGAGCAACACAAGCCTTTCACTGCTGATCTGTTATAACAAGGCCTGTAGGAAATGCCTTGTGAGGTTGGCAGCATGTATCACTTCCTGTTGCAGATAACACACAGTTTATACATACACATGTATATATACACACATACCATATCACAGAACGTATTTCTGTCGTGAGTGGATACTGTTGCTACCATTTTACCACATGTATTGACTGGTCAGGTGTGCAGAGGCGACAGATGTAAGGTGTAAACTTTTCTTTGTCTCTTCTTCTCACCATTAATTCTGTCACTTTTCAACTTTTCAACTCATGTACAACTCCATGGAAAAAATAAAAAAAAAACAACTGCAATTAAACATAACCACTTGAATCTGACAGTTCAGTTACTACACAGAGTTGTGGAAGCAACACTCACATTGTATTGGTCAGATTCCTTTCATTTTTCTTGTTGTCGGGCAAAACATCTACATACTAAACCTCCTGCACAAGTTGTGTAACTGAGGCCCTTGAGACAGAACAGCTTTGACACACATAAAGGACTTAATTCATCAAGACTGTTTGTACCCATTGTCTCTCACAGTAGCACCCATTCACAGATATTCTTGGTGCACGTCTTGTAGATGAATCGACTTTCCAACAGTTTTTTAAAAGCTTATCAGTAAAAATAAATATGCTTACAGTCTATCTTTATCCATTTCTCTCTATTGTTTATCTTGTGAATAAAAACAGAGCCGCAGCTATTTAAAGCGATTTTTTTTTTTTCTCCATTTGTGGCAACAAATGTGCTGTTATTTTACATGTTTCCTCTCAAGCCACTTTCTGTGCATTTGCACCTAATATTGAAATCCCATTGCATCTATATTTACTGTATGTCCTTAGGGTCTGCTTGTTTGTTAATACACAGCGATAATAAATATCCCGGAGGAAATGCGATAATTTACCATCAGATCACCATGTGAAAGGAAGTTGGGAGCTATTTCGGTGAAAGGGCTTCCAGTTTCTTTCTGCTGAGATCGACTCTCCTGGCTGTTGCGCGTGTATAAATCATCCCACTGGACGCTTACAGTACAGCAGAGTACAAAAATATGAACCCCTTGTGAAGCTGACAGCTTCAGGACAGCGTCTGCGACTCGACAATGGAGCAGATGGGTAGCTGCGGAAGACGGTGCCATTAACTTGTTGTTTGGACACTCGTAAGAGGCCGTTTCCCTCGGAGCTGCGCAAGATTGTTTTCACATAACCGAATTGTTTGGAAGTTCAAAGCCAGAGTGTAAAGGACTCAGAAAAAGAACGCCGAGAGGATGTGGGGAATAATGGCTGCTTCCTCTGTGTATTATTGTCTGTTAAGTCAGTTAATCTGTGGGCTTCTCCGTCAGTGAAATCCCTTTCCTGATATTCTGTCCTCTGATAGCATTTTCAGTAGCTGCAGTCAGAGCAGACATGACTATATTTTGGAAAGACCTACTCATGTGTTAATCAATACCAGGCGAGGAGTCAGTTTATTTAACCCCTAACTAGGAGGTAGTAATAACATTTTTTTGTGAAAGGCTCTGGGGGTCAGGGGTGAAAAAATGTAGATGTGAAAAGTTGAATCAAGTCATTGTATTACCCGACACGAGGATGGGAAAACAAACAGCAGGTCTCAAACAGCGGTATCATCCAAAACATCTGGGAAGATGTTCAGACATCCTGCGTTCTAAACATCTGGAGGAGTTTTTTTTTTGTAGTAATTCGAATCTATGAAACTATTCTACAATTTTATCTTAAACTGTGTAATTCAAGTACTCCTAATATTTCCATTACAAAACATAATGTTTCACCAACAGTGATTTTACAGGTTATTACAAATCATCATATTTTTGTACCAGATTACTTTCTGAATTGTGCTCTAAGAAAAACGACATTTTGTCTGCATTATTATTGTGTTTGATATGTCCTCATGAGGTCCTCATGATCTTGTATTTGTTTGTAGTCGCATAGTGCCACAAGTGAAGCACAGCATGGAAGTGGCTAATGCTATAATGCTATACTGTATTCTTCAAACCGCATGGATTTCAATGCTTAAAAAATGTCACGTTAATGTTACTGCTCATGTGTCACATACTTACAATGTTCATGATAGCGAGGATGTATCCTTCCACATCTTTGCTCCCATGATACTCCACCATCTTAGGGTCAGCCACCACCAGGGTTTCCACCCACTTCTCTTTGCTGACTGAGCGTTGACGAATTCTCCTCCTTCTCTGCTGGCGGTGCTCCCAGCGCTCCCGCTGTCGCTCAATGTCTTCAAGACTTTGATGGGAATCTGGAGATAGAAATAGACATTGAAAACTTTCTTTCTAAAGGTGCGGTGCGTGCTTACAAAGCAGGTATGAGTTTTAACCTGCCACAAACAGTCTGCTGTTCATCAAAGGCCTAAACCAGCTCATGGCCCCTCTGCCTTTTTTTACTCTTCTTCTCCTTAATTAAAGTTGTTATTCAAAATCATTACATAACAAATGATAGATTAAAAATCTATTTGATTTCAACATGCAACCTGCAATCTCCAAAAAATAAAATAAAATAAAATAAAATCACATATATCAAAGAGATTTCTTAATAATCCTCCACGACCTGCCTGTAGGCGCTTTTGTTGATGCTGTAACATGTTAACTCTCTTATTGTTTTCTGTGACCAATAATGATGAAGATAATATCTTATAGTAACTGTTAACGGTGAATTCTCTAAAAGAGCATGTGTGTTTCATCAGGCCAGTGTGGGCAACACTGGACTTAAGTATGATATTTCCATTTTTTGGACATTTTTCAGAAATTTTTACAACAGTATGTCACAATATGAACTAATACTGTGATCACGTATACATGACAGTCATCATTAACTCTTATCCTCAGCAACCCTAACCTGTAGAATAAAGCTTAAAGGGGACCCATTATGCTCATTTCCAGCTCTATATTTTCTCTTGAGTAGCTTCTTAGTAAAAATCCTTATTAATCTCATACTGCCTGTTATGCAGCTCCTCAGTTGCTCCTCTAACTGAAGCAGGCAGCATAAGCTCAGGGCAACTTAACCCCCCCTCCCATTTTCATCTGATTGGCCAACTTCCAGAGTCCTGCCGAGCTCTAGCACCCAGCGCGTGTGTCTTCTCACGCTGTGGAGGGTTCCTACAGCAAAACTGTCAAACTACTAAGTAACATGATTTATTAGAGATGGCAGCTTCTCAATTGCATCTGTGCGTGTCTGAGCCCGAATCTGATCCAGAGTACGAGAGTGGACAGCATGAGCGACAAAGATTACAGCAAGACGTCTCTGTTTGGTAAATAATACACTGGTTACTTGCTCAGTGAGTGACATAACTCTTTCAGTCATCATCTGTATATTATTTTACTGTTGATAGCTGTACGTGAGGGAAATGTGATAAATGATCGGGTGAAGTGGAAAACATCTGATGTCAGCAAATACCAAAGGTAACGTTGCCTGTAAAACGATATTCTGTCGATGTCAATATAGATGTATAGTAAACCTGTACGGTCGGTTATGTCTATATTAGAGTATATTAAATACCTATGATATTACCCAAGTCAACTGCTTTGGCAGAACGAGCTGTGGAGCAGATGATTGTATAAAAAAAAGTCCAGGACAAGCTGAAATCAGTGTCTGTGCGTATAAATAGGAAAAGTTTGATTCACGCTGCTCATACTCTTCTTCCTGTGAGCACTTCCATTCACATCAGCATACGGCCAAAAAATTGAATACCTGAGTCTGATTGGTTCTTTTAAAAAAAAAAAAGAAGTTAAACCTACCAATTAGTGACACACCACTGCACTGATGACTGCACTGATGTCAGGAAGAGATTCAGGTGGCAAAAACCTGGGCAAGTGAAACATTCAGAAACTCCAGACACTCCTCAAATCCACTCGGTGGGATGCTCAGTATTCTTTCAAGGTCAGTTAAGCCGACTCAGAATTTTAAATAGCTTAATTATGAGCGAATAAATTTCACTGTTTTACTACTGCTGCCCTCTGCAGATCAGCCGGAGACAGGAACAAGAACATTTTATCAGTCATCATCTTCATTCTGGTCAGTCAGTGCCCTGTGCCTTATGAGAAATGCGTAAAACTCAGCATAATGTGGGCTACTTATCTTCTTGTGTGCTATTGGGCAATTTCACAGAACAAATAAAAAGTCAACTTTTTAAGTATTGTGAAACTTTTACGTGTCACTTTATATATATATATATATATATATATAGTGCGTGTGGTGAGAAAAAAAGAAAGAGGTGATTTACTTTTGAGTCCGCAGGTACCGTTGAGAGCTTGTTTCCCTGAGATCGGCTGTACGACTGGACTCCAGGAGGGAGGGGACGCGTGGCGTTTGTAGACGGCATGGGCCTGTGGTGCCGAGGTCTCGTGGCTCGGCTTCTCCAGAGGCTGAATAAAAAACTCCTCATCAGACAACCTGAACAGTCCTGTCTGAAGAAAAGAAAGGCCACAAGTCAGTGTTCTCTTCATGCCTCTAAATATATATCAATAACTCTTAATTACGACCGTCACAGAGGAGTTGGTGAAATATTGAGTTATTTAGAAAAGAAAGCTCAATATTTCAAAAAACACTTATTTAATCTTTAGATATGTCATGAGGTGGAATCCCTTTTGTGCAGCAACGATTAGTCAGTTAATCAATTTGTTGATTAAAAGACGAATCAGTGATTGATTATCAATGGATCATTAAAAAATAACTTTTAATGTTAAATTTGATGGTTCCTGGTTCTTAAATGTAAGAATGAACTGCTTTTATTTATGTTACATTGTGGTAAATTGATTATTTGGTGTATTAGAGACTAAATGATTAATCAATTAACCAAGATCTTAACCAGCAGATTAAGTGCAAGTTAAATAATTGGTAATTGCAGACCCACATTACCCATGTATCCACACACAATAGAATATTTTCCCAGTACAATATTCACAAATCAAGTACAAGTCAGTAAGTTTGACCATTCACACATCACTTTATATATTTAGAAATAAATATATTTATAACTGTTTTTTCTGACTAGTTTCATATTGACAATGTTTGAATGTGACGATGCTGCTGTACAAACTCAGCACACCCTGCAGGTGGTTCCCAGTTAAAGCCTTCAGATGAAAACAAGTTATATTTACCTGCCTTAGCCTAACGCTGAGCCAGCAAAAAAAAAAAAAACCTGGTTAGAAATAAATATAAAAATGCATAAAATTAAGGGAACCATCTCCATTTTATATAATATATTCAGTATTTTATCTTAGATCTTGTCTGTCTGTTTTCAGTAGCTGCTTAATGTGGTGCAGCTCCTGAGGAGAAAGCGTTGGAAGCCCACTACGCAGATTTGTCCTCAGCACATAGAAACAGCCCAGTGAGCAGAATAAACAGCCTGATGTCTCACGTCTGCTGCAGACATCCAGGGCGCGACTGAGACGGGGGAAAGATCAGATGTCACATAAATTACTGCACCCTAAACCACACTGGCACGGAGCCAAAGTCGAATTCCAGTAGCCCCCTTCTTTTTCTTTTCAGCCATCCTTGCCCTATATTTAATTCCCACTCATCTTATACCCCTATTTATTTTTCTCCCTCAGCTGTCAAAGGGTCACACTGAAGCTCAGACAGGAGGACCGGTCCTACAATATATAGCAAGAACAAATACAGTGTACTACATTGGGGGAAGGTGAGTAATGAAAATTTAAAGTAACAAAGCTTCAAAGAATAGCTGCTGCACACGCCATGACAGGACGCCGTGTTGAAAGATAGACAGACTGACATGATCAAAGAAGCTGTAGTGCCTTTGGTATCGATGCTTTGTTCTTATATCGCCACCTGAGGTAAACAGCCAAACTTACACTGCCCCAAATGCTTGCACAAAGTCATTTCCTGGAAAATCTCTATGCTGCAGAAATGCTACCGTCTCCATGTCTAACAGATAACAAGCGAAACAGAGAATCTTCAAATGTGAAATGTAAATTAAGCTCGGCATGAACACGAGGAACTGAATGCTCAGACTCCATTCCATCCGACATGTTTCGCAATGTCTAATTGTGTCCTTGTTTTAGAAAACGCACCCACGACTGTGTGAAAAACACCACCAGACTGACGCAGTGAGCCACAGGTGAAATGAAATCACAACGTGTGTAGTAGTTTTTCCTATTCCACTCATTTGTACCCATTTGGCGTTTTGGATTCAGCACGATTTCACATCATCTGCACAACACTCACTCGCTTCAGACATCCACCGTGTGTCTGTGTTTTCACTCTTTATTGGCTTCAGATGACTTTCATACACAGGGACAATGTAAAGAAGACATTCGCCGTTACTATCACCACACTGCACTACAGAACATACTGTGCATTGCTGTAATGTGCAGCAATGTATTTGTAGAGTTGACAGTGCTGCCTCGATGTGCCCATCTGCTGCGTAAATAACATCCTCGCGCTCTGTTTGTGTGTGTGGGCTGCGAGTCTCTGTAAAAATACCACGTTGTCCCTGCGCCACTCTCACCGACAAAAACCTCTGAAACATTTATTTTGCCAGTGACTCCACACCGAGTTCTTACATTATTGTACTTTTTAAGCCCGACCCAAACCTCGCAGGAACGTGGAATCCCACCTCCTCAAGGAACACACTGTGATGGAAAGATACAATATAAACAGGAATACATAAAAATACAGTTTATTTTTAAGCAACAGCGTCAACAAGAAAAACAAACAAACAAATCATGCAACTTATCAGCGTGTATTACTGTTGGAGTGAACCCTGTTTTTGCAAGACTGAACAATTTCTTTTCTTTTTTTTTTATGTATATACACAATATTTCAAGGAAATAAGGGGAGTCGTGTTCATCTGACATTTATGATTCAGCAAAGTGTGTTTTGTAACTTCAGCAACTTAAATCTTGCTCTCCATGTGTTTTGGTTGTACAAAGGCTTCAGTTACCATGTAGATATTTGTTTTGATGCACTGAAGAGTAAGATGGCAAATGCTTTTGTTAACCATTACATACGTACTTGTGTCTGCACAAAAGAAAAAGAGCAGCTTTGTCCCAACAGGATTTCAGCTATTGGCTCTCTGATGCAGGACAATAGATTTATATAATGCTTAGCTTTAAAGGACACTTGAAATGTAACGACAATACTAATTGCGGTTGCTTGGATACCCTATAAATTGCGCTCGTGAAAATCAAACAGTTTCGGTCTGTAATGTATACAATGCACTCCAGAAATAAAACAATTATCCTTTTACATTTCTATCTACAGCAGGTCTGTGAAAGTTTTTTTGTGCAAACAAGAAAGTGAAACTTCTGCTTATGTCAAAAGGACAAGATATTTTTGCTGGACGGCCAGATTTTGGCCAATGGGCTGCTGTTTGCCTGCCACAGCTGCTCTGGCAAAAAAATTCTGGATGATTTTTCTTTGGACGGCAGTTTAGATCTAAACTGTTAAAATTCCTAACCTCCTCAGTAATTGGTCGCAGAGGGCTGTTATGGGAGGCTGCTGCTTCACTGAGCGCACACCAAATACTCAGGATCCACAGGGGTGCGTATGATCTCCAGTGCTTCTTTATTTACACAAATCTGGCAGTAATGACTGGGGTATTTAACTAAAATACTTATTTTTACACCGTCATCGACAGTGAAGAAGAAAGTGATGTGATGACTCATGCCACGGTGCAACATCAGGAACAATAATTAGACATTAAGTGACTGATATGATGCTTTTAAACCAGTGATTGAACACTTATCTGAATACAAGTCACAAAGCAGGTGTAATGCCCTGTTTGCATGTACTGTAAGGAGCTGATACAGTAAAGTGCCCACACTTAAGATTTCTGATTCATTTTCAAATGACAGTGATATTCTTTAAAAACTCATTAGGATCTCAAAAATAAAGCAGGTGGAAGTTAGCACTCATGCTTTAAAACATTAACACACACACTTTACCAGCTCCTTGCATAAAGGCTGGACACAGAAACAGTCAAAGACATTTTCCAAATAGAGAAAATGTGGGACACGCCACTCTGTCAAAAACATCTCCAAGAAAAAGACATGAAATCATCCACAAAGACGCCTCAAACAATGGGAAAGGAATCTCAAGGCTTTCTCTCCTCATCAGTCCACAGTATTTATTACTCCTCCATCACAAAAAATTAAAGTGTAAAATGTGTTTAATATCACAAACTAGAAAAAACATTAATGCTCATCTCAACATTTGCCAATAAAAGCTTTGGATAATCTTTAGCTTTAGTGCCAAATGTTCTACAGTGCAACCTCATAGTACTTTTCATGAATAAATTCATAAAAGTTGCACACAGGATTTGAGATGAAAGAATGGCTATGTGGATAAAGTGTCCACTTTTTTCATCCCTTTCTGCAGTCAAAAATAATGCCAGCAACAAACAAACAAAAGAAAAAGTTTGTTCAGTTTTTATTACTTAAAAAGGTCATTGAGGAAAACTTCTCTTCCTCTCATGTCTGAGCTGCAGGAGCCTGAAGGACAGCAGCTGGACAACCTGAGCTCCAGCTGGGAGAAACAAAGTAAACAAACTTGCACCGTTGCTTTCAAGTGATGCTCTGTTGGTAGCAGTGGTATTGAAGAGTGAGGACCACACCAGCATCTAAAACCGACTGCAATTACATTTTCAGCATTTAATGAACTGTAGCTGAGCAGCTAATCAGTTTCATTAACCTGGGTAAATTGATTCTATAGGCTGAATGGAAAGAAGTTCTCCATCTACACGATCGGAGAATTAATTAGGGGGGAAACCATGGGTACATTTTTTTCTTTTAAGCAACATCTGGCTAAAGCTAATGCAGTCTAATGCAACCTGCAATAAATCCTCCTTCCTGAAGGTCGTTCAGTTTCTGTTGAAAAAGTGTTGATTCAACTGTACGATCTATTTGGAGGCTGTTTTCTGTGGTGCTACTTTGTCAATGCGCGTTATGTCATGGAGTATTGAGTGTACACTGATTTTAGCACAAGGCTGAAATACAAAAACTATTTTACTTTCTGAATGCAAAGCACTGTGTAATGTAAAGACAAAGCAACCAAGGACTCTTTTAGAGCCAAATTGAAGAATGGTCATAACCGGTTACGTCAGTCACTTGACCTCAATTCACCCGATTATGTGTTTCAGATGCTTTAGAGCAGACTACAAGCAGAAAGTCCTAAAACAAGCAAAGAGGGAAGCTGGCTGTGGTACAGCCCTGGCAGAGGACCACCAATGTGGATACCATGTGTCTGTGTGGGTGGGGAGACTTCAAAAAGCAAATGTCTGCAAAGTATTAACAGCTAATTATTAAATAAAAATGTTTTAAGTTTGTTTTAAATTACATTTGGTCTAAAACTGGGTGAAAATAAAAGCGAGTGCGGATTAGTGCTTCTAGAGTCAAATGAAGTGACTCCTTCATTAAAGATTCCCTGTGGAGCTTCTAACCTCTAGCAGCGCTGCGGAGCGGGTTTTTCAAAAATGGATCTTTGTTTTGTTTGTGTTGTGCACAAGGGTGTGCGTGCATGCATACATGATACACGGTCCTGCCAATGGTTTCACACTGTTCCACTAATCAACAAGCGGCGGTAACGTGCCAAGAAACGCAGCAATGGTAGAGCAGGGACAGGGGAAGGGACCCAATTAAAAGAAACTTGGGTCTGATACACACAGTGAGTTTTGATCCACTAACTGTCTCCATAACTGTACCTTACCTTACTGTCCCTGCTCAGCACAACAGCCAGATACCCCAGTGAATCATGCTGCAGCTTAATAGGAGTCACAGTGGCTTGTGAGCCTCTCCGGGTCACCTAACCATTAGACCACCAGGTGTTGGGCAAAGCTGAAGGGTGGACTCATCAGAGAAGATGACCTTACTCCAGCTTGCTACTGCCAGGCCTTGTGGTCTTTTGCAAAACTCAGCCACACTCTCATTGATGAAGGGCTTTTCTTTTTTTCTTTTCTAGCTCTGCATGACTTCAGCCCTGCCGCCCTCAGGGGCCTTGTTTTGAACCATCCTTGCCGTGCGTCGTACCCCAGCTGCTGTTTGCCATTCTTTTTGTAGGTCACTCGATGTTATTCTACGATTGCTGAGTGACATTTGAACGAGTCGGCGGTCATCCCGGTCAGTGGAGAGTCGTTTTCACACTCTGCCGGTCTGTAGCTTTGTTGTCTCCAATGTTTGCTGCTTGACCTTGTTCTTATGAACCGCCGTCTTTGAAATTTTTATGGATGGAAGCAACCTGACGCTCGCTGTATCCCTCCACCAGTAAAGACAGAACTGAACCCTTCTTTTCCTCACACAGAACTTTTCTTTTCAACTCTCTCGCACAGTTTTTGCCACGGAGCCGCTACTTTTCCTCGTTAAAGAAGATTTGGTTCAGGTGATCACCTAATCAGTGCCTCTTTAAGTGTAATGAGGTGTGCCTGGAATGGAAAGGCATAACACACATGTAGACATGCTGATTGAAGAAAAATTTATTGCTGTCTCTGACTTTTTTACAGAACTGTAAAAGATGAAAATGGTGCCTTTCTTGTCTTACTTGCTTAGGGGAAAGTTTATTTGCTTCCAGTCGAGAGGGAAACTGTGATATTCTCGGCTTTACAGGTTTGGTCAATAAACAGACAACTGAAAGGAGTTGTCTCAGTGGGAATTTGGTCGATTTGAAAAAAGAAATTGCCTGATGGAAAGGTTTTCCTTTTCAAAATTAATTCAATAATCAATATTAAAAAGATTACTGTACTGATAATGCTTTTTATCCATGTGGGGAACTTAATTCTGGATGTGACTGCAACCTTTGAAGTGAAACAAAGCCGGTGAAGCTTTTCAGAAAGGCAGCTTAAAGAGGAACTCTGCTGATTTAACTATCAGTCTAGGGATATGTATATGTAGAAGAAAGGTGTGTATAGCCTTTTTGTGAAATCTGATGAATTGCGATGTCACTGGGTCTGAAACTCAAAAAGAAACTGGAGGTGCAGCGTTAGAAAGAAGTAGAGAGGTCACAGGAACAGATAACTTTGGGACAAAGTCGATGCCAAAATTTTGAAAATGTGACTTGTGTGGTTGTTCTTCTACAGCACCATCTGTACCGAATGTACCGTAGATGTACCGGAGATGCGGTTCTTCCGGGACTGACGAGGGCAGTATAATAACCCTACAAGTGTCCCAGTCTGAAGAAGGCAGGCGCAGTAAACAGCGACAACAGCACGTGTACTGGCAGCGGTAAGTTGGGGTGCAACAGGTTCACTGCGACTTGTAGAAAACAAAGCACCTCCTCTCCTATCACCTCTAACACTTCTAACACTCTAACTAGCACTTACTATGCGCTTCTCTTCCTGATCTCCTTGCATTTATTGAATAGATGTAGTGCTTGGTTCTTATGCCATTGTCTACTGCACTAAAGCTTTAGTGGTGTCCTTCACTTGTAAGTTGCTTTGGATAAGAGCGTCTGACTAATGAGTAAATGTGATGTAATGCAACGCAGCAAGACTGATGTAAGGAGATATTCAGCATCTGACACAGAACGTCAGGGACAAGTTATACACAACCCAAACAAACAAACAAACAAACAAACAAACAGTGCCACAGAGCATCACACATGAAAGGAGGGAACATCTCAAACTTATCTAAGCAGCTCAAAGATGAAGAAATTCAGGCACCAGGTGGCAGTTCAAAATATAATGGAATATAATGCAGTAAGACTCTCAAATTCAAATGTCCCTCACTGTCAACAAATCACATGCTGCTGTTCTGTTGACCGTCTCTGAATCCTGAAGTAATTTATTCCTAAAAAAAAAGTAAGTAATCCTGAAACATTACCTAGTGGCTCAAAAATGACTTGGTTTTGAGACTTGTTGAGAAAAAATGTTCAAATATCAGACCCCCCCCCCTCCAGCTCCTCCATGGTTACCAACCTGCCTACGTGTGCACGATGCCAGAGGAGAAGATGGGACATTGTGCCGCTGTTGACACACATCAATCACAACACTGTGTGTGTGTGCCTGTGTGTGTGTGGGAGGGAGATAATTACCTTTGCCACAATTCATATTCTGAGACATTGTTACATCTGTGAGCCACGTCACAGCTGTTTTGACTGGTGGGGACAAATGCACATGTTCTATATATTCAGGGAGGGGGAGGTATCCCCCCGCATCCCTCCTAAAATCTACGTACATATGATCAACCCTGTCTCCTGCAGATTACATTTCTCTAGTCATTGACCAGATCCAATAAGGAGAAATACGAATGTAGCATTGCAATGATGCTGTGTCAGTCTGTCGTCAGTTTAAAATGTCTGATTAAAAAGAGAACGGACATTTCCTCTCTGCTCACACACACACCGATGTTTAGTGGACAATCTATATAGGGTGTGCAGCTGTCTAAATGACCCTTAAGTTGTCAAACAAGTCTGAGGTCTGAACATCCACTTGAACAGATTGACAGATCTGAACAGATCGTCATTACACGCACCTCAGCCGACACCTCTGTGCTCAACTTGAAAAAGGCCTTTGAAAACAACTTTGAATGCACTTGTATGTAACATTAGCTAGTTTGTCGATCCACTCACCAGTCCATCGCAGGTGCTTATGGCTGCGTTCCCTTTAACGGTCGCCCCGTCCCACACTTCACCTAAATAATGGCACCGGGAGGATCCAGGAGGACGGATCTGTGCCCCGTCCAGGCCACCGTACCTCCTCTCCGTCAGGAAGCCTGGAGCCAGCAGGTGTGGGTTGAGGGTGAGGTTAAAGTTCAAACTGTGGCCGCCGTGCCACAACTGGTAGAAGACTCGATCTAAGTCCACTGGGCTCTCTGAGGCTTCCCGGCGCTGTACTCGGCGAGCATGGTGCGACAGGAAGTTGGACAGGAAGTGACCTCTGGCATCCACCCTAGCGGGGCGAACCACTTCATACTCTGGCAGATCCTGCAGGAATCTCTCTGTCAAAGCCGAGGTGGGGAAGAGAAGATGTGAGAGAAGAAGGGTTATTAAATCATGGGAAAGAGGAGGGTAATGAAATAATTAAGTGGTTGCAAAGCTGTAAACAAAACCGAGGAAACTCTAAACAAACCCATATGGGTGTCTCATCTGTCATCTTTATGTTTGAATGCAGCTGCAGAGCTACAGGATTCTTCTCTGCTATACTCCTTTCACTTTTTACTCTGATGAGCAGCAGGTTTGATGAGGTCAGTGAAACTCATTCTTCTTCAATTTCCTGTGACCCGGAATAGCTGAATCAGCAGCATGAAAGGCGGCGTGAGAGCGACCTCCCTCTTTTTGAAACCAGGTTAAAGAAAACCTGCCTTAAGAACAGGGACTACCAGCAGCCCGCTGACTGTAGTGCACGGTCGTCACACAACACACATTCAAGTGTCTCCACTTTATTGTTCAGCAGAGATTAAGTCTTGATAAACATTGCATATGTTTTTACTTTAGGTCATCACACTGAACAATCGATGTTTATGTCTAGTGTGCACTTTCAGAACACCCACACACATCCAAACATCCACGCTGTGTCTATATATATATGTATGTATGTATATATATATAAGACTTTTTTTCCAGTATAGTGTTATTCATGAATCATATACCTAGAGGGAATTAATGTTGGTGTCAGCAGCAGCAGCAGCAGCAGTTTTACCCTGCATGAAGATGTTTTCAAATTGCATAATGACTAATAAATTACTGCACATTAAGATGATGTTCTAGGGAGGATTTTCCATGTGATTTTTTTTTTTTGTAGATTACATAACTTATTTCACCAGATTTCACCAAGAGTGCAAAGAGCTCTGAATGACGAGATAAGAGGCAAACTGATTATTTGATCTGCGAGGTACAAAGACCTGCTCCTAAACCTGCGTGAGACTGACCTTAGCTTCATCTCATTCAGGAGAAACGAGCAGAATGCAAACAATGATTTCACACAGCATTGTGACAAGGTGAGACAAGGGCTCTCTCCATCCAGTGCTGTGCTGGATTATCTGCACAAATATTTTCAAGAATACATCAGCGCAAAAAGATATCAGATGTTTCTGGCAACCAGCTTTTAAGAATACCTCAGTGAATGAAGAGCTAAAAAAAAAAACCATCATGTCGACTATTTGTAAGGACACTGACGGTGCATTCACTTTTATTCCTTAAGGCATAAAGCACTGTATGTCAGATACCACACAGGAAAATCTGTTGGATTATTACTTATAGATGAAGTTACAGCAAAAACTAAATATATGGCAATCAATCAGGGGTCATGGGCCTGAATCACTTTAAATTTTGCTCCGCTTGAGCCTCGAAAAGCCCAAATATTCCTGCAGAAATCATGGCTGCCATCAGTCAGTCAAGCGTGACTGAAGATCTGGATTTTAATTTTCTAAATATTTACTGAATAAAAATCTATAGGGTGTTTTATAGGGCGGATGTATGAGCTCTCTGGTTGACTTCTTGTTCCCAATGAGATGATTGATTTCATGGGAGGGCATTTCAGAACACATGAAGGATTTTGTAATAATTCTCTGCAGCACCTTAATTAACAGAATACACACAAGTATTTAATTTTAAATCAAAGAGACTTCATTACAGCTTTTCATTAAGCAGTTGAGCTTCTGTCACTGAAACGGATGCATCTCTACATTTGTGTCTTTTCAAGAGGACGTCTGTGTCCCACTTCTTTTCTTGTTCTTAGCAAGTTGAAAATAGACTATAGTATTTCTGTGGCAACTTCATCACCTGGAACCGTTATGCCCCGACAGGACTTTGTTTTTCTCTCAATGCCACACAGCTGATTTAGACAAGATGAGACAGAGTGCATCCAGATTCCTTGCTCTGCTCGTTTCTGTAATCTCAGGGGAGGCCTGACTTAACATCCAAACCACGTACTAAAGGGAAGACTGATAGATTGAGAGTGTAGGGACTGGAGGCGGGGGACTGCACCCTACAAGACAAGAGAGGACTCATTGATGGGATGATTATGCACCGGGCCCGACACTTTGCAAACTAGAATAGAAACCAGCTCCATTATGAGAACAACAGTAACAATAATAATAATTCCCCCTGTCTGTTCCCAACGTGAAATTCTGCTACTTGCCCCTCTGGTGAGGTCAGAGGTCAGTATCAGTCACAGAGCAGCAGCAGCAGCAGCAGCACTGAGATTCTGGGTTTTGCTCAAGGGCCCTTTAGCGAAGGCAGATGGGTCTTCAGCCTCTGATGATTCATTGGAAAGAAGGTCTCTCCGGTTACTGCACCAAGCTAAACCTTGAGCTTAATTGCTGTGGTCAACCCACGGCTTTATAAACACAGGTCCCTGCTGGCCTCCCCTCGCGGTGAGGACCGCCGGCCTCCGTCTGACTTCACTGATGCAGGTCTGGAGCAAATGCGCACAACAGAAGCTGACACAGAGCCCCAGAGGACGTGGTGAAACCATCAATACATGAATGCAAAGTCTTAGAAGTTGTTGTTTTCAGACTCACTAACCTGGTTCGTCTGATAGTCCCAACGTTTTGCAGCTTTCCAGGAGCGTGAGTGCGATGAAGAAGTGAATGGGAGAAACTCCTCGCCCAGAGCCGCGACGCCCGCAGCGCAAACGGGTCATTTTGTCGGGACGTTATTCTACACGTTAAACATTTATTGCCTTTCTAACACCGCGTCGACTGTCAGTTCAAATGATTTCCATCTGGGCCGGGTGCACTTTTCGCTTTTGTTGCGACCGTGCACTTAAACTGTGACAGTCCCAACAAACTTCTCCAATTCAGGCCTGAACATGGTGCAGCTCCGCGGGGCGGGTGTGTTGCATTCTCGCGCTCTTGTTGATTTGTTCGCCCGTCGGTGTTAACGTTTGCTTAGGAGTCGCAGTCCCCTCTGTCCTCCATCAGTCTCCTCCCGACAGCCAGTGACAGCTTAAAACTTTGCTCTGCAAACTTTCGCAGAGCCACCCCCACAGATGGGTGGACTTAAGACAATGGGCTATCTCTCAGGACGACTGGAGCTGGAGGCTTAAAGGGGAATGCTACTCCAAGAAATCGGATAAAGTGACACAGTCCAGTTGGCAGTTGTTCCTAAAGCGGAGGTCCTTCGGGTTCTCTGTGGGTCAGATGAGGACCCACTTACCCACAATATTGTTTCACTCACTGGGAGTCTGAGAAATATTTTCAAATCAGGGGTTTGAGTCTGTTCTTTATTTCCTCCTCCTTGTGCTTTAAGGGTGAACAGACAAGACTTCTCCGGTGCAAACTCAAGGACAAGACCTCCATAAAGTCTGTGCAGAAACTGTGATTGAAAGCATGAAGTTCAGTGAGGGTTCCTGATCTGAAAAACCTGTGGAAAAAGCTTGGCCCTGCTCTGCAGTCATGCTAACACAATGTCTCAAACTTAAGATGTCTTTTCATTAGACAGTAAAGCAAAGTGGTTTTCATACCATCAATCACACATGAGCAATTGGAGTAAGGTCAAATCGACATGGTCATTAAGCTCTTCAATACTGCTTCATCCTATTATTGGTGTTTATCTGCCCGAGCTTAGCGCCCCCTCTACCGGGAGAATGAAGGAAGGCCTCTGCGTATCACTTCTAGCAGCCCATGTTATGATGGCCTGTTATAAAAGTGCAGGCATTTGCTTGAAACGCACACTGATATGGGTGGTGATGCTTACAGAGAGGATTTTAATGCAAAACAAAAAAGTGATATGCACCAACAGAAGCAGCTGAAGATGTACCTTACAGGATCTGCTTTGGTCTCGACCTGTAAATATATCTGAAAGTTGTGGGTTTTTTATTTTTTTATTTATTTTAAACTTTGAATCTCTTTAATTCCGTGCCAACTTTCAGGCTTCCTCCAACCACAGTATAGCACACCCTCTGTGCTCAAATATGATTTTTTTTCCTCAAATTTTATCTTAATTCCTGTGTTTTATTTGGATTCTCTTGAAGAAATGTTGTTGTTGTTGGCACAGTTTTACGCACGAGCCAGTGTGCCAAGTGCCTGCCACCACAGGCTAAATGAGCTGACATGCTGCGAGAGTTAAATATGAATTCCTAGAGACCAAACACTGAGCCGGTTCAGCTGTGTCTCCTCATTTCTGTGACTGGGACTATCTGCTTCTCAGTCACGTCTCATTCGACCAATCGTGGCTCAGCAGAGGAGCGACACACCTGTATAAAAGCGGACTCCAGGTCAGCTGTCATTCACAGAGGTGTGATGAAGATGAAAATCGGCTGAATGGTGATAAAGAGCCGGAGACTCTTTTCGCATGGGGCGTTTGTGTTTGTGTTGTGTTTTCTAGCTTGTGCGCAAAGTAGAGAGTCTGGTGTGAGTGCCGGTCCGTAACTTTAAAGATGGATGAAATATTAAACTACAGCGCGGCACTGAACCGAAGTTCGCCCGGCGATGAGAAATTTAGTTTCGAAGACATCGATGTGAGCGCGGACGGCACCCCCATCCTGAGGATACTCATCTCCGTGGTTTACTCGGTAGTTTGCGCGGTGGGTCTGGTGGGGAACCTGCTCGTCTTTTTCCTCATGAGGTTACGACAAGGTCGAAAGAGATCCACGATCAACGTTTTCATCATCAACTTGGCAGTGACGGACTTCCAGTTCGTGCTGACTCTGCCCTTCTGGGCCGTGGACACCGCGCTGGACTTCAGCTGGCCGTTTGGAGACGCCATGTGCAAAATCATCCTCTCCATCACCGTGATGAACATGTACGCAAGCGTCTTCTTCCTCACCGCCATGAGCGTGACCCGCTACTGGTCGGTCGCCTCTGCTCTGAAGAAAAAAACTTACAGGAGGTCACGGTGTGTCAAGTGGGTGTGCGCGGTGCTGTGGGTGGCTGCGACGGTGGCCACGGCTCCGACAGCGATCTTCTCCACCGTGACTGTTGTGGCTGGAGAAAAACTCTGCCTCCTCAGGTTCCCCGAAGGGCACGACTGGCTCGCCCTCTATCACATCCAGAAAATACTCATCGCCTTCATCATCCCTATGCTCATAGTCTGTGTCAACTACCTGATGCTCCTGCGCTTCGTCAGGCAGAAGAGCATGGACAGCAGCAACCCGAAACGGAGATCTAGAGTCACCAAATCTGTCGCTATAGTGGTTTTGTCTTTCTTCTTCTGCTGGATGCCAAATCACGCCATCACCTTCTGGGGCGTCTTGGTCAAATTCAACGCGGTCAACTGGGATAAAACGTATTACATGGTGCACACCTATGTGTTCCCGGTCACTGTGTGCCTGGCGCACGCAAACAGCTGTTTGAACCCGGTGCTGTACTGCCTGATGAGGCCAGAGATCAGGAAGACGCTGAGCGGTTTGATCTGGAGGGTCTCCACTCCGTCCACCAGCAAGGGCTGTGCGACGCGCTCTTTTACGCAGGGAGAGACCCATGGAGTCGTGCCTCTCCAGATCATGGACAACGGAGAGTACACGCTTTCCATCATAGACCGTAAAGGCTTATCAAGCTCCAGAATGATCCCGTACGCCCGATGACTTCAGTCTGATCAGAAAATAGATGCCTCTTTTCTTTTCGCTCTGGTTGTCTAACTGTAAAATGATTTCATGCCAGTGTCCCAGTCTGAACGTTTTAAAGGACACTTCATACTTCACATCATGTGTTTGTCAGATTAAGTAAGGCCAGTGTAACGCGGCTTTTTATTTAATTCCCCAAACTGACTTGTTGATTCCCCCCCCCCCCCCCCCCACTTCAAAACGCAGCAGCTGCATGGAGCTTTTCTTTTTGCACTTTGTAAGATTATGTTTATAATAGGTTTGCCAGGACTCCCAGCAAAATGTGGGATCTTAAAAAAAGGACCTATGATGGATATGGAGATTCAAACAGAATCACAAGGTTGCAATATTTTCTATTTATGTACATCATGTAAAGCCTGTTCTGCAGTTGTTCACGTTGTATAATGAAAAATGCCAGTTTGGGGGTGGGGGGGTGTTTGCCTAATTTCATTGTCCTACTTGTGCTAAGTGCAAATGTATGTTGACGTTAGTGAGCTCTTTCTTTATTAGCCGATGCTGCCTAAACGCTGTTAACGCTTTGCGTTTGTTATGGTCCATTAAATGAAGACGTGCAATTCAATTCAGCGCACCAAAGCGTCAGTTTCTTCCATTATCCAACTTGTCCAATAAAGATTGAACAAGGAAGTCAAGTGCCGGGAACAGAGACAGCTCGTCTTTAAGGTAAAGAAGAGAGACACACACACACACACACACACCCACAGTGTGCAAGTTACCGTTCATTCTTATTTATAAAGGTGGTGGGGAGAGGTGAAGGGGTCGGTTCAATATATGGTTGGAACATAAAAGGTTTGGGTTGTTGCGCAGCTCAATTCAACCACAATGACTGAGGAACAGTGCTGTGTCTGTAAATAATGTGGCAGCCTAATAAATGTAGAGGAGTAAAACACCTCAGTGATGTATAATAAACCAGACAGTTGTCAAATTATAGAAAAAAAACAAGATAAAGTGTAGTAGTAAGGTGTTGAGCCGAAACAGCTTCAGTGGTTGTTAAACTGGGTTGAGAACTGGTGACTGAAGGCCACAGCATATGATTCACATCATTTTCATCCTCATCAAACCACTGAGGTCACTACGAGTGACTGTGTTGCACATTTAACACATGGATCCAAGAGCCATTTAGCCATTTATTTTGTTCAGGAAATTCAACAAGGAACTGATGGTAGGATGGATGATTTCTTCAGTACAACAAACTAAAGTAAATACCTTGTCATGCATACCACAAAAATAATAAAGAAAGGGTAACTAAAACATCTTACATTCTCAATGCATCCAAAGGGTAAAAAGGAATCTCAAACATTCCTCAAGGTTCAGCTTATCCTGTTAACAAAGAACATAATTAAATGCATGATACAACTAACAATAACTGTATATATATATAATAACAGTGACTAACAATTTTCACGTCAAATAAACTCATAAATTAAGAGTCACTGAAGGTAAACATAATTTGAAAGAAATAAACAATATATAATATCAAACAGAGGATGTTGGTTTCCAGCACCCTACTGGTGTGGCAGCATGGTCTCTAACAAAGGGATCTCAGTTGTACACACCCAGTGATTTTGTAAACTCCCCTATGCAATCTCCTCCCCTGTCCTCTGACAGGTGAATCCCCATCCACCCAGTCTGACATGTCAGCTTGAGATTTTTGAACAACAGAGTACAACACAATTCAATAGAATATATACCGTCCACTACCTCCTCAGCAGCAAGGCGCAGACAGATACAGTCAGAGAGCAGCTGCTGAACGTAGCGGCGCACATAGCAGCTAAAGAGACAGATTTCCCTCAGGAGCTGGTGGAGACCAAACACAGAGCTAAAACAGTGGAGCACTGGACGAGATCATCATGAGACGTCAGGTAAATAATAATAATAAATAATAAACAATGTTAATTAAAAGTAATAATGAAGATAGAAAAAAGTTGTCCCCCTGTCTTTCCACCAACAGTCACACAGTGTGACACACCTGCAATGTGAGTGTGGTCAGTGTCAATCCTTTTGGGTTGGCCACACTAGCTACAGATGTATGATGTCATCTGCCAGCATGTTTTTCCTCCAGGCAGCGGCCCCCGCTCTGA